GTTCCGATAGCAAGCTCAAGACTGCTGATCTTGTTTCAGAAAATCCCTTTTTCTTAACTCGTCTTACCTCTTACCTCTTTCCTCTTTTTTCCATTCTTCGTCGAATATTTCTTTGCTCTGAGACACCGGCTACAAGGCGTGAACCCACCTCCTTCCTAAGCCTGTGGGGTCCAAGACAAGTAAGTTAAACCCCCACTCGCCCCCCCAAACTCTGATGCCATTTTCCTTTTTCCCTTATTGTCGGCATTCTTTACGCCCACCCAATCCACTGCCCCACAACAAATCTCTGCAGGCTGGCTTTCAGTCTTTTCCCTCTTTAAGGAAATCGAAAACGAAAAAAAAAAAAAATACCAAAAAGGCAAATCCAAAAAAGGAAAAGATAAAAAGATTAAACCAAAAATTACACCTGCCTAACCCTGTTGGGTGACGTAAAAAAGCTCGGCCTTACCCACTCAGAACACCGGTCTCATACACTCTACTCAGCCTACCCCATATCCGATAATCAGTTCCTCTTATATGGCTGGATCCCTACACTCTCTCCACACCTTTTGCATCTTCTTCCCCTCTCTTTGACCTCCTTTGGGAAAGTAGTCTTTAACAGTTGAACAGTCGTCTCACCTGTTACTTTTCAGTGATTCTGATCAATAAATCACTGATATACTCGCCTGGACCGTGGGATTTCGCCCAGCTCCAAATCACTCCGTACGATCTTCAAGCCGGAGACAACCTGGCCGTCAAAGTCACTCACCCGTCGGGGTCGTCGGTTAGCTTACGAGGTTGGATGGAGACGTACTACGGGCACGTCCGCACCCCAGCGGACGCAATTATTCTTTTCGAAGCCTGTCGCGTTGGGATTCTTCCGCGAGTACAGCGACGACTTTCAGAAAAGGAGCGACAGTCGATTCGATCCGGCTCCGTGTTTGTTTGGGATGAGCGGGAAGCGGGTATGCGAAGATGGACCGACGGCAAATCATGGAGCGCTAGCCGGGTATCTGGCAGCTTTTTGACATATCGCGAGATGGAGGGCAAGCGTGGAGGTGGTAGTGTGTCCCAAGGCTCAGTGTCCAGAGTTGGCAAGACGCCAGAGAGCCGGGGTAGTGATGACGATCGGGGTGATGGAACCGATGAAGGCCCCGATGGTTATCGATATAAGCCGGACGGATTGATGAAGCAGTCCTTCAGTATCACCACCTCGACCGGCCAGCATCTTCATTTGATCAGCTACTACTCGCGATCGCATCCCTCGGCGGCAAATCTGCAACAACCCACTACCGACCCTGCTTTGCAACAAGTACGACCGCAGAAGGGTTTGTATCCAGAGTCCACCGTCAATGACCAGCAGAACCTCCCAGTTGTCACTCGGGGTCCGATGGCTGGCGCCGCTTATCCTATCACGCCTCACCCTATGGGCGCTTATGCGCCGCGCACCACGCATGCACCATCATATCAGCCCCAGTATGCTTGGCCACCCACGCCGTTGGCTACCCCTCCGACTGTCGCCGTACCGTATGGTGCTGCTTATCTACCTTCGGTGTCTGCAACTAATGGTCCCCCTCCCTATGGCCAACCGCAACATCAAACACCTTCACGCCACCCACCTAACATTCACGCTCTGCCACCCCCACCTCAAGGTTTGCCCGGCCCCTACGATCGTCCTCACCACCCGGACTCAGGTCATCCACAATCCGGTCCGCCCGCAGCTGTACCACATGGATATCCAGGGCGATCGCCGCGCACTATCCACGAGTCTATCCACGAGCAGCGCAGCCCCCGCTCCTTCGGACCACCCGCAGCAGATCCTCGCCTCTCCTCGCCCCGAGTACCAACATCAGTCATGTCGCAGGTCAACGGAGTCGGTCAAAGCCCGCACATACTGAAGCGAGAGTCGCAATCTCTCGCCTCTCTCCAGCAGCTCGTTCCCATGGGCACCCCGCCCAAGCCAGCCGAATCCGGCGTCCCTGGAATCGGCTCATTAATGAGCGGCACATCCTTGGCTCCGATCGCAGGACCGGACGGTCCGGCAACTGGCCCTGGAAGTCCCAATGGCCGTCAACCCTCCATCAGCGGTGCCGACGGACCACGGGATATTCCCAACGAGAAAATGAGCTTCGCAGGCGAGGACATGCGGGCACTGCGCCAGCTGGACCGGGTGTTTACGGCGTAAGCCTTCATCAACCAATATCTATTCAAACATTCTCCGGATCAAGCAGGAGTCCTCCCATGACTTGATCAGTTCACTTCGGTTTCTCGAATGTCGTTTCTAGTTATATCGATTCCACTTAGCTTGTTTTTACTGAGCTGGAAGTCTTGTTTATGTGATATCCACTTTTGCTTTTTTTTTTTTCTTTTCTTTTTTTATATACTGCGTCATCGTTAGCATTGCATGGTTTGGGGCAATCTGCATTGTTTATGTGTGTTGGATCGCGGGTTACGCTTCACGGCCCTGTCAAACATTTCTGCATTGGGATCGGTCTACACGGCTGGGATACGGTTCTGGTATTTACTTCGGTTAGTCAAATTGACTTGATCACATTTATCAATATGCATTTGTGGATTCTTGTTCAATGTAGGAAGTGTTGGAACCTTGGCAATATGAAAGATCGTATCATTGTCTTTGGATCCTCATAAACCCTCGTTGGAGTATACCTATACATATTGTCTAGAACATCCCTGTAATCCCTCGGGGGCACTAGAGTCCACAGTGGCATAGTGGCTTGCTTGTGCTATAAATAGGCAAAGGCTCTCTGCATGTGTTTCAATCATAGCTAATGTAGAGTTTACCGAGTCTACAATCGGCGGTCCTAAACTCTGGAGCACGATACCTCTCAAGGGCTGCGTTCGACGCATGGTCCACACATAAGAAACCAAAGGCGTTCCCATGGGAATAACAAAGCCGTGCCTTCCGTGGCGGTATCTTATCTTCCCAAAATGTGATATTTCGCAAAAAGAGAGAAGGCCCGAAAATTCGGGCGTAACGATCGACAAGACACGGGAAGAGCTAACCTTGAAACGTGTCGCGCATTGAGCCTCGGCCCCCGAATTCCCCGAATTCCCACCAGAGGGTGCAGATAAATGAGGCAAGCAGCCAAATCTGAAGGTTAGCGGATATCTGGACTTTTAGTGATCTTGAGGCTGCTAGCAACTGCTACGGTGGTGAATGCGTGGGTATCAGGCCTCCGCACCTTCCCGATGTCCTCTTCCTGATCTTTGTTATCCCTTCCAAAGCTCTTCCCAATATATTGTTTTACATTCTTACTGGTCATATCCATGTGCGTGAGCATCTAAGACACTTAAAAATTCCTACTTGATATGAACACAACCAGCACGCTTACCGTCCCTGCCTGCATAATATATTCGAGTCAAGTCAATCCAAACTACAACTAGATAACCACGATATTGCAAGTCGTGTATAAACCTGAGAACTAGGCGTATAATAGTCCTAGCCAAGATTCTTTCTGAGGTTGACTTTACTGATCCAGAATCTGAATAAGCAGTAGCTAACTGTTCCCTTACATTCAAAAGAACTTAGAATCTCTTCATCGATAGGATTGTGAATATAGCCTCAAAGGCTTCAGCATCCCAACAATCCTCTTGATCCGTACAGAGCAGAAGCTATTCATCGTTCAGCCGTTCCTTCTCTTCTCCTCGGCAAAGCCGAGCCACTTTTCACCTTCACTTTGGATCATTCCAGCTAAGCGATATCGTTCTTAACTCACATGATGCTCCCGACTAGTAAAAGTGGCATGTCTAGTGGTCAACGTAGCCACTGAATCCAGACGGGAGTCGAGGCACAGCGTCTTCTCCTGCATATTAAGGAAGCCTAGGCAACAAATATTTATTGGACGCTTGAAATGACCCGCGTGCAGAAGGATGAGCATTAGATGCTGGTACCTTGAATTCCTAGGGCCGTAAAACCCTTGGTCACTCGCACGGTAAGCATCCCAGCTAATGGGAGACATTTACTGCCATGAGCTGATGTTCAAAATTCTACGTGGCTGCAGCCATTGACCTGAAACCGATCAATATATGGAGACGCCTTTTCTATACGATGTTAGGCACCGATGAGGCTTCTAGATTAGCTCACTCTCTACCTTTTCTTAATTCATCTTACCGTCTTTCATATGACACTCCGAATTCACTTTCTGCGTGAGATAGACCAACTGCCCCTTCTAGCTTTGCCCACTTTGCCCATTCATCTCTCACTTTTATCTCTTTTATTCGCCATATTTAACTTATTTCATCTTCTATTCTTCTATCTACACCGTCTCTGGTCTTCTTACCTGACTCTCATTTTCTGTTTCTTTCCCGAGGTCGTCTTGTTTGTCGCCACCGCACAGTATTGACCTTCTTGCTTACTCTCCTCTTCACAGCCACTCGCCCCCTTCACGATGAACACCTTCGACTCAATGACGTCGTGCCAACCCTGAATGGTGTTTGACTGGACAGGTTGGCACGATCGCCTCATGACCGGACTCCAGGGCCTGAATCCATCATGATGCGGCATTCTGATCGGCATCATCACACGTCCAGCTCAACCTGCGTATCTACCTAAACTCAACTCAAACACGGCTCGTGTTGTCGCGGTGGAAGCGCTTCAGAGGCACCCAGATAACGTCAAACCGTATGAAATTACACCCAGAATCGAAATACGACAGGCGATAATCACTTTACTACCTTTCTCATCCTTTCCATGTGCTCAACCAGCAGACCGTACCTCATTTTCGATCTACCATCTTACCGTCTGCTATGGAGCTCGTGGTAACGTCGAGGATGCTCATGAGTAATTTCGGATTCTTTTGAGCCTCATACGACTCAGCTGCTTCAACACGGCCTATTCAGCCCTCGCTCCCCGTCAATCCGAAAACCGTCACGAAGCTCAAACAGTAGCTATCATACCGCACGACCACCGCGCGATGACTGGCAGCGAGTTCGCTCGGAAGTAGAAGGTATTTTTAAAAGAAGCGAAGAGACATTTGCTTCGGGACACTACTACTCCGTCGATGGAGCTTCACGTCTGTCTGGCAGCCGTCAAAGGTCCCGAAAGTACAGAAAGCTTCATTGAGGTCATCCACAGCACCAAGAAGACCTCTGGCTCCTTACTTGATCTCGCGATTGAGCAGTTCTTGGATCATGACTGGAAGTACCGCGCGGAACGTGGCAGCACCTTGGCTTTTACTTCTGCTTCCAAGGGCGACAAGAGCATCAAGGAATCTGACAAGCCCCAGTCCTACGGGAAACCATGGTGAGAATCGTAAGGCTTGGGGTAACCACACGGAGGAAGAATGCAATCAGAAGCATAACTGTGGCCCGACGAAGAAGTGATCATCGAATGCTTGGAACTTCGACAGCTTGAATTTCATATACGGTTGCATTGCCAAGGCTTCCCCCCTAGAAGTTTGAGAGATAATCAGATTGGCATCTAAAATTTGCGTTCGTTTCTGTAGATTATGCGCCCCTTATACATAGTGCTTCTTCGCCTCTGCGGCTCTCCGGTTTTCCCGTCCTTGATATGTACCGTGAGAACCCGGGTTGAAATGCCCTGCAGGGGCTCAAATATTATGTGTAGGCAAGATGCACCAACTTATCCCACCCTCAAGGCCAGCACCCAGCTCTGATCTAGCACATTCATTCGACAACGGTCATCACCCTGCAATGCATTGAGGTGACATCCGCCACATAGATCCTGCGCAAACTGTAGTATATGCACGACTTGTCATTTGCATTCCCCGCACGGGATTCATTAATTGAACTCATCACCAAGCAGTCCCAAGCTCCAGATCAGGCAACTCGGATACCAATCCGAGACGGGTCAAATCCTGGGGATGAGAGCCTTACATGAAATCATTCAGGGGTCAACCAATAGACACCCCCTCTAGACGAAAAAATCTGCTCTTAAAGAAGTATGACAGTCAATAGTTCTGCGAAGTGTCGATCGCGGTGCTCGGATCAGACGATCGATCTTTCGATAGTCAATGCGTGGCGCAACGACCACAGGTTATCTATCGAGTGCACCTGTCAACCCTTATCTCAACAACCGTGCGCTGGGGAACTGTATGCACTTGATAGTCATGCATATGCCGCTAGATCTTATCACTCGCGCCACTGGTGTCATTAGCGTGGCCTATCTAGGAGAAAATTAGACTGCTAGTTAATCTGAGGGACATAAATCGCGCTATTGTTGAGAAGCTATGGCCTTACAACTCTTCAATATGACTGGTTGGCAAGAAAGATTATCGCGGTCGACCGTTGTCCTGGGGTCACTAATTGACTGTATGAATATGACACCCTGGGCATCAATACTGCTGCCAATTGCCAACCTCCTGCCAACCTCCTGCCAACCTCCTGCCAACTTCCTGCCAGGTCTGCAGGTGTTTTTTTTTTTTTTTTCGAAAATAGATCCAGTTGGGCGAATTTAGAATTCCACGAAGAATGGAACCTCCTCAGATGACTTGTTTTAGTCTGCTTTGGAACCATGGGTCGCTTCACCGACAACTACACCAGCGACGGGATTGCTACCTGAGCGATCAAGATTGTAGACGCCCAACTACCTTCTGTGGATACCTGTCACCATCCAGCAAACAACACGACGGAGAGGAACGACAGTCGCTTGACATTGCTACATCGAGTCGAGGACTTGACGGAAAGTCAATCTCAGGGTGAATTCTTCCGAAGCTCAGACCAACCGGGAGAATCTTTGTCCCAGCAGGGTCAACCCAAGTCGAAGTGAACAGTGAGATGTCTAAGTTAACTCAAGTCTCCCAAAGCTGGGAATTGTCCAGGCCTTGATCAGAAGCTTGATGAAGCCATCGCACGCACCATACTCGATCGCCCAATAGATGGACTTGGAATAGTCAGCGCCGAAGGTGAAACATCCGTCGACCGGAGATTGAGGAAGCGGGGTGCATCTAAGTCGCGCGATACACCAGGTGCCTCTTTCTCAGTTGGGCCGATGGGGCTGCGAGATGACCAAATGAATTCAAGGGGGAAAGGACTACCTCAACACGAGAACAGCAAGGCTAAACGAGAAGATGGGCAACGCTACTTTTAGCTCGCGATGATCGCCCCGTTCTTGGCGCCTGCTTGAATCATTCGGTGACTAGAAGCGGTCCAGCGACCGTCGTGTATACTGACCATCAACTAGGTTCTTATTGGGGAGCCGCAGTTGGGGGTGCATCATGACATTGGATTTGTCAAGCGGGTCCGACTCGTCATTGTCTCTGGTCGTCCTCATCTTTTTTACCCCCTGCACGCGGCCGCTTAGCGGTTTTGGGTGGCCATCCCGCATATTACCTCCGTCATTGTACCAGACAAAGTCCACATGGCTCGTTTGTGATTCTTAGTGCTCCGAGCCGTGAACCACTGTCCGGTGGCTTGATCGTGCTTATGCATCCACGCCTTGGTATTATAGCGATATTATAGGGTGGCGCCTTTGCTACCTGCTCTAGACGGGCCTTCGCCTCGTTTCCACCGAAAGTAGTAATAATAATAATAATAATGACATGGAAAGTCACGAGGGTGCCGTTCTGGCCCACTCCACCGTGTGGAAGCCGCGAGAATGTGTCTGACACGAGGGTGATTGGACGGCTTTGACAGAAGCAGGCCCGACTTGAGAGGTCGGAGCAGTCGGAGAGGTCAAAGATCCAAGCTGATCGGGAACTCGGCAAACCTGCTTTCCTCAGACATGTGGATCATCATCATCCCCCTTTGGCTCGGAGAAACCGCAAAAAGCGCCAGGCACCGCTGACCCTCTGCGCGACCGTCACAGCCGACTGGCACATTGTCTGAGCCTGGTTTTTTTCTTCTTCTTCTTTTTTTTTTTTTGTGTAGAATTCTCGCTCCGAAAATCCCATAGCCACTTGGGAGGGGCTTCGTTGACTTGGGTATAGTTCGGCACCACCCGATGGTTCAACTCCACTTGAACCACGGGGCGGGATTAACCTTCAATTTGGGGATGAACCCAGTGTGTTTGAGGATGTCAATTGCGAAGCGAGGGGGTAGAGCTTGCAGAACAAGGGACAGCACTAGATGCAGCTGCGAGACAGGGCATAGGCTACCCCGGAGTACCCAAGGTCGATCCCGTCGTATTTGACAAAAGGGAACATGATCGGGAGACAGCCCCCATCGGATCGCATCAAGTCGCTTGACCTTCACCACGGCGAGAACAATTCGGTACCTGGGTCAACTACACTAGCAGGGATATGGGATCGGCTGAAACTCTGAAACTCACTGCGGATTCCCCATCTGGGCCTGCCGCCCCTCAGCTGATGGCCCAAGATGGCTAAGTGGGCTCAGACAAGAGAGAGCAGTACAGTCACTCCAGACTGCATCAACGAGGAGTATTACCCTTCTGGTCACCCGGCAGATCCTGGGGGCCCTGCACAGCAATACACTCGCAGGCGAGGCTCGTCGCATTCCCAGTCCCGCCTTTTAATTTCTTTTCTTTTCTTTTCTTTTCTCTTTTATTTTATTTTATTTTCTTCTTCTCTTTTCTTCTTCCCCCCCCACGCCCCGAAGGTCACAAGCCCGCCTCTTTCTGTCACCAAAGTTCCTTGGCTGAACCCACGGCCCGAACAGTCGGAAAGAAATACCTCAACCCCATGAATCAATTGATCACAATCTCCGGTTTATTGAACCGCCCTAGGAAAATCCAGTCGGATTGCTCCGGTGGTGGAACCAGGAATTAGGAATACGTAGACTCCGAACCTTGTCAATTCCCTGCAGGCGGACGTCCGTGCTTGGTCGAGATGATCTGGCCCACTTACCCCAGATTTGTCGTCGTACAAAGGGGACTCGTTGCGTAACGAGATTTCAATGTCGGCGGACCAGCTGTCGTTCGCGTGGGCCCGACAGGCCCGTGGAGACCGCCCTTGCTCCCTCGGCCGTCCGTGTGGGCACCAAAGTACTCCAACTAAATCAGTTGCACCCTTCCCCCCTTAACGGATGGGCCAAGTTGTGTTATTTCTGGGTACTAATGGGTAGTAACGGGTGAGGTTTTTGGTCTTCTGAGTATACGATTTGCTGCAAGTGCAAGTGAGACGCGGGCCCGAGCCCTTCTGGGGTCATAAGTACGGAATTATCCAAACCGGATTGTTATAGGAGCTGAGGCACCCGGGCTGTTCCAGGCAGCCCCCATAGCTGATCTAGATCTCTGACATTACCATTACCATTATCATCACCATAGCCATTGCCTCTTTCGTCTAGGTTCTACTCTCCCTCATGGGGCGTGATGGGGCTCCTTGGCCCATGTTGATCCTGTAGAGTTTAGAGGCGATCCAAGGCAACTTGCCGGAAAAGGAAAAAGAAAAAGAAAACCGACCACCAAAAAGGAAGAATCGACCACGAATAATTTTGCTTTTTTTTTTTTTTTTTCCAATTCAAGTGCCCCCATTCCCTCGCTTCGTCACTGCAAATCAGGGCGTCAGATCCAACATGCTTGGCAGCCTCCCCCGCATGGAAAGTTTAAACACATAAGGCCATTCGTATGACCTCAGGCTATTACCCAACTGTTAAATAGGTACATATCCCTCATTCATTTTGGTCTCTCTGATCCCTTTCCGCCTGATCCACCTAGCCGTCAAAAGTACTGCTCAAACAGTACACTTGCCTCCTAACCCCTCCTCCCCCGCCCCATTTATATCCGCTTCATTCCCTTCCCAAGTCAACACATTCTCTACCTAGCTTGGGACTCTCCCGTCGGCGCCCTATCCCGGGCCCTCCAATGTTGTCCATGCAGAACTCAGCGTTTCTCGCCCATCTGAACGGCTCGGGTCTACAGCACTGCTCTGGTTCGGACATGCCCACTCTCTCAAATATCGGCGGATCCCTCCGAGCCAGCACATCCAGCACCAGCACCGGCGCCAGCCCCGATGATACCTCGTCCGATTCCCCCGACTGGGCCGGCGACCCCGATCAGTCGCCGGTAAACATCGATCCGATGGCTTTTGCCCGATCGCACGACTTTATGCTGGATTCAGAGATGGACGCGGCACCCAAAGTTGAGGAGTTGGAGGAGGATATCCAAAGCATCAAGCAGTCCGATGTGGGGAACGGGGAGGACATCGCGGGGGCTCCCGTCACCGTTCCACGGAAACGTGGGCGCCCACGCAAACACCCGCTGCCATCACCAGGAGGCCAGGTCAAGGTCACCAAGGGTCGATCGAAGACCGGCTGTATAACCTGTCGTCGCCGGAAAAAGAAGTGCGATGAGAGCAAGCCTGCGTAAGTCGCGTGACATCCACCATGCGCCCAGAATACTAACCCCGATGTTGTAGCTGTCTCAACTGCCAGAAGAATGCGGTCGTGTGTGAAGGATACCCCCCGAAGGAGATCTGGAAAAGTGGGAGACAAAGAATCGCCGATGGTATGCAGTTTCAATCTGGACTGTGGGACAAACACACTGACCACCCCCTCCCAGCTGTCCGTACCCAGACCCTTGTATCCGTGCCTCGCAGCCTGCCTCTCCTCATCGACGGAATCGAAACCGACATCGATCGCCGCTTTCTCGATCATTTCGTGTATGGGTTTAGTCGCGTGCTGACCCTTGTCAACGATGACTCGAACCCGTTCAAGGAGATTCTCCTGCCGATGGCCACACAACACCGGGGGTTGATGCATTCACTGATGTGTCTGTCTGGATCGCATCTTTCCGGTCTCGATCCAGAGCCGAAGCTGAAGGAACGCAAATACTTCCACTTTCATCGTGCGATCCAAGACTTGAAGGACAACATCACCGCGTCGTCATCCCAAGGCGGGGACCAGGACGAGGAGCAGCAGTTACTGGTTGAAGACCCGATAATCGCATCAACGATCGCCCTCAGCTTAAATACCATCTGTGAAGGCGAGACCAACGGCGAATACCGCCCACACATGGACGCCGCCCGCTACCTCCTCGTATCACAGCAGCCGCGGAACGAAAAGTTCCGGCAGTTCATCGTCGAGTTCTTCCAGTACCACGACATTTCCAACGCCCTGACCTCTTTGGACCGGCGCCCCGCTCTTCTCCAGGCCGGTATGCGCTTGCCCGAGTTCGTACCAGGGGCTCAGGCAGGGATGTTCGTGGGTGTCTTCGATGGTCTATTCAATTACATCTCCGAGATCACCCAGCTCCGCGACCGGATCCGCCAGCGGTTCAACGAGGGTTACGAGCCTGCCGTGGATTACCAAACGCTGAGTGAGGCTGTCCAGGTCGACACTGCCATCCGCAACTGGGAGACCTCTCACGAGGAGGAAACACCAAACTGGTTCCTGGCCCAACTCTACCGTCAGTCAACCTGGGTATATCTATACCGCACAATCCGGGCCTCGCGCCCGAGTGAAAAGATCGCTCAAGTCGTTGACGACGGCCTCTCATATCTTGACCGTTTGCCCGAGGACGCAGGCGCTTACAGTATCGTATTGATGCCCCTCTTCCTACTCGGCTGCTCTGCCTTCGAGCAACAGCAGCGCGAGCGTATCCAAAAAGGCTTTGAATCTCTCAAAGCCTACTCCAACCTGCGCAACATCGAACCTGCCTTCAAGGTCGTGACGCGGGTATGGGAAATCATGGACACGAACATCGAGGAAAGCTGGGACTGGGAGAAAATCATCCGTGACATGAACATGGACTTCCTTATCACTTAGTCCCACCTTTTCCTCTACTACTTTTCGATCTGATACCCTGGCCTCCAATTCTTGTGTTTATTTTGTCCGTCCTTGTCCGGGGAAATCACCCCCCCCCCCCCCCCCCCCCCAGCGGGGCGTGTCCCCCTCTCCAGAGGATCTATTTCCTTATGCTCTGAAGGTGAATCCGCGCCGTTAAGCATAATGATCATTCGTGGATGGGACTGTATTATGCGGTGTTATTGTTTTTTTGTTGATGTTGATGTTGATGTTGATGTTGATGTGTTCCGACTTGCATCTGCATCGTAAGATGCAGGGGAGGCCCGCGGTGTTTTTCTTCTAGCGTACAATTTGGGACTTCCCTAGGAAACCTAGGTGAAGTGTATGTCTGAGACATACCGTACATCCTCCCCGTCTCGCACTGCGCGAGAATGCACAAAGTCAAGCCTAAAAAAAAGTGGTGTTTTGACGGACTGGTGTTCGGCTCGATGCTGGATCTGGATTGGATCTTGTTTTGATGACTGGTGTTATGTGTTCTGTTATGTGTTCTGGTGGACGATGGTGTCTTGTCTTTGACGTTCTGGTCGGGTTCGAATTATTTCGTGCTGTAAATATCCTTCTGTTCTGTATGTATTTGCCTCAATTGGAACCCTCGCGGATATCCGTGTATCATATGTTTGCCAAACTTTGACGGAAAGAGCCCTGAGGGAGCTAGAGTTACTTGTGTAGCACGTGTTTGGGCCTTATCAAGACTGTCCACTCCACAGTCGAGTCTTGGTCGCAGATGAAGTCATTTTTCTACCAAGGTTGATGGATCCCGTCCCCACTTTGGCTTCAAGCATAAATGTAGTTTATCTTATAGTCTATCGCTGATCCTTGCCGGGGTTCCACTTGAGCTATGACTTGATCGTACACAGATAGAGTTGTCAGCCTATCATGCTCGAGAGTTGCATCTTATCATACGTCGAAAAATAGGGCCTCCATATTTTAGTGTCTTTTTTTTTTTTTTTTTTCAATGATCTCTAGACGACAATGGAGCCTCAAACATCCAGACCTGGAGAACACATGGTCCTTGCACATAGGACTATTGGTCAACATGTAGATGAGGGGTTACAAATGGCCGCATCACACAAGATTGCCTGGAAAATCTTCCAAAGCTCCAAGCCAGACTACAACGCTACGCGCACGGTGATGAAAATGACGATTCATTGCATTGGACTATATCGTTAAAAAACCAGGATATCCCGTGGTCATACCAAGTTTACTGCTGATACCTGCTTTTAGTTGACCGCAGTTGATTAAAAATATGGGGTAGCATTTGGGCAACTGGCACTGGGAGGGACCGCTGCATGCAAACGGGGGAGACAGATATTGTCAGACCCCCGGTTGAATCACGTCTTTTTTACAGTGTTTTCGAGTCAGTTATGCCTCCACACCCCTTCCTTGATTCTCACGATACAAAGTGGAAATGCACGAGTCACGATAGGGTATAATTGTCGACACCCTGATCCCGGACATTCCAGGCTGCTCCTAAGTAGACTGATTTAACAGCACGATTTTGCAACTTCAAAGGATGTATTTCACACGAAAATGCTATACATACCCTACCTCCGTGGCCTCCGTTTTCTTCTAAGGCAGCAACCGGACTTCACCACCCATCGCTGTTGCGTGTCTTCTGAATTGAAAGGGCGGCGGCCTTGAACAGTGCTACAAAAAGCTGTTTGCCAGTTGCTACAGAAATAAGGCAATTTCTAGAAAGTCTTAATACAGTACCACATCAACAGCTTTCGAGTCTTTGAGTAGGGCACACTGATGAAGTAGCGCAGAGCACAGGGAAGAAGTGCTCGACCGAAGGATAAATTAGTACTTCAAAATAGTGGATATTCTATAACCACTCTCGGCGCCAATGATTCAAGATCACAGTTAGGATGAAAGCTTACATTTGAATGCCCTCTTTCAGGGTATCCTCGGTAATGCAGAATACAAGCCGAAACCACCCTGGTTCCTGGACGTGATGCTCTTCCCCCGTTGACATAATGACGCCTGCGGATTTCAAACGCGCCGAGAGAAGTTTTTCAGAAGACTATCCATTCTCATGAGCATCTTCTATACCAAGATGCGCACTCAAATCAAGCCATACAAACAATCCTGCATACCCGGTATCATAATTCGAGATCAGATTATTTTGTCTCTCAATAGCACAATATTGGCACAGCTCTCATGACCTCTATCGTGAAAGCAAATTCCCGCCTGATTCAGGAGATCTTCTCAATTGTAATATTGGCAAGTAGACTTCTTGTTCACTTTTACCTCACATTCTTCTGATTTGATTCCCGGATAATGAACATGAAGCGTGCTATTATACTACTAGGTCGCTATATGTTGTTTGTAATATCAAGGAATAGTTATGGACAAGTTTGTAACTCATAATAGTATGTACGTGGTTGCTGAGATATCAATTCATAAAAATTGGCATTCAATGTGGTTTTCTACGGGTGGCCACTTGCTTGTGAATTACGTTACTGGCCATAGTAATGTGGCATAGGTGCCAGGCCTTATCCCGAGATTCACAGCTTCACGACCCTTGCAATTCATTCACCTCCCAATCAACGTGGATTTTCCATTGTCCGCAGAACCCGGGGCCAAGATCGAAGGTGTCTTCTCTAATACTGTTGGTGTTTCCGTTGATCAGAGTGAGTGTGTCATTGTCCGTTTCTGTAGTACAGAGGATATGTTGGAGGCGTGGGAGGCTGGCACACCTTCTCGAGTTGGTGGTAGGGTAGTTGGCCATCAAGTCGTGGACAGGAATTAGGGCTGCTTATACCCAGTAGACGTTTCTGTTCTTCCTGCACTGTTGTTTTTCTTCTACTCTCATTCTTCTCTCAGACTTTTTCGTTCTTGTTTCATTCTTGTTTCATTTTTCTTTTCTTTGTACAGAAACTGCAGAGAAGATCTGGCTTGCTTGACAGCTATTGTTCAGAACGAAAACCCGACATTAATTTTTATTTTGCATCCAATTCATCAATCAGACTTCGTCTAATGTGCAGAGTATTAAGTAGCCTACGAGTCGATTAAGCCCGTTGAACTCGACTGCGTGATTCCACCCTCTGAGACATTGCCACTCAAGCCTGTCCGAAATAATGAATCGTCTTACAGATCTAGGTGTTGGAATTTCCAATTGCGATAAATGACATAGTCTCCCCATAAGAAATGCCTAAACGGGTGATTAGCCGACCCAGCATGTTCGGGCAAAGCCCCGATCTCCAGCTTGATTAGGTATATGGAAAAAGAAACAATAGTGCAAGGGCAGTCTATCTTAGAGATGCAGGCACAGCTAGAAAGCATATTGTAGATCTATATTGGTGTCTCTAGCAGTTTATTCACTACCGATCCTGGTGTGTGGACAATGGACAATGGACAACGGTCGGGTTGGTCGCAGCGCGGAGTAACCCCGACGCCCCGACATCCCGCGGGACCCCCGCGAAAAGGTCGGGTCCATCTATCCCGAGCATTCCCCCACGTTGCACGAAGTTCCCCTCTTGACAATTTCAACATTCAGGTGATCCTTCTGCTTGCACTGAATTGAGCTTCAAGCATCACAGAGTATCAGATAAAATGTCTTACACCACTGCTATCCAACGGAGCCTCAAAGGCCCTTCGCCGGCATTCGGTTTTTGGCTCACGTACGTTTCACGATGACTTCATTTGGCGCATTGGAAGGCCTATCTCGGTCAATAGCAAGAGCGCAAGCTCTTCAATTTGCTAATTCATGTCTACAGTCTCCCCAGCGCTGCTGTTGCTAAGACCATCATTCACGGTGCCTCTGGTTCGTCAACAAAGTTCAGCTGGGTTCTGGTTGATGCCGAGCACGGTTTGATTTCCGATTCCAACTATTATGAGGTTCGTCCCGATACGTTCCAAAAAAGATGCTGGCACAGCTGACAGTGACACAGCTTAATAATGCTATTGGTTCTGAAGACGCCAGCCCCGTTATCCGGGTCCCCTGGGCGGAGGAGTGGATGATTAAGCGCGCTCTCGATGCCGGTGCTCACGGCATCATGACTCCGATGTGCCATTCAGAGGTATGTTCGACTCTAACGCAGCTTCTGAATAACCTATAGAAACTTTTTAACCATTATCCTGCCGTATAGGTTGACGCTGCTAAGATCGTCAGCTGGTGCAAGTACCCTCCTCTCGGAACCCGTGGCTACGGCCCCATGTTCGCCCCCCACTCATTCCCCGGATGCAACCCCGGCCCCGAGTACGATGAGGGTTCCCAGCAGTTTGTGACCGTGTGCGTGCAGATTGAGTCGCGACCCGGTGTTGAGAATGTTGAGAAGATTGCTGCTACTCCTGGCATTGATGTCCTCTTCATTGGGCCGTTCGATCTTGCCAAGCAGACAGGTGTTACTCGCGGCGGCGAGGAGCACGAGGCTTCTATTCAGCGTATCTTGGCTGCTGCCCATGCCAATGGCAAAAAAGCTGCTATCTTCTGTAAGTTTGCCTTGGAACGAACCTTGCATCCTTGATCCGGATTTCTGACCGTTCTTTGTAGGTACCGATGGTAATGATGCTCGCAAGCGTGCCGAGCAAGGATTCGATATGATTTCTGTCAACACTGATGTTGGTGTTATCCGGGCGGGTATGCTGAACGAGTTGAAGACAGCCAATGGCGAGGCTGTTCAGGGTGGCGCCCGCGAGGGCTACTAGATTCCTTGCATTCTTGAGATGCGACCTGTATAGATCATGACTTTGATGTTAAATATAACCACTTCTCGCATCACATGGACTTTCCTATTAGGGGCTTTTCACTCCGTGAAGAGACTTACGATTTGAAAGCTATTTTGGAAGCTTTCTTGTGAATGTAAGCCATTGGGTTCCGCGGATGTTCGTTGCTGACAACCTTGAACCCCTTTTCGGCAGCTGCGGCTGAGGCCTACATGAGTTGAGGGGCTAGGCTCTGCCTCGGGGAACCTGTGTGGTTAAGAAGGGGTAAGCATCGCATCGCATTAAGGGAGATCACGGTCAAGTAGATCGACAAGAGCTACAACAGCCCCATTGGGACAAGTGACTTCGCTTAGATGTAAGGCATCCACGTGTGCTGACTCAAAAAAGGGTGGCCAATTAGGATGAGAAACGACGAATTATGATTTATGTCTTGTAGGTGTAACGGGCGCGGTGGATCCTGCTCTGGGCCCTCGCGTCGTTCTCGTTCTCGTTGTCGTAGTGTAAGCCTGAATTACCTTTACGCCTGTTCAAGTAGATACCGCTGTCTTACCAGATATGTTACCAAGGTAGTTTTGCTCTACAGGAGACCGTAGAGACTTCTTGGGAGCTTCACCACTTTCCAGTTACTCTTAGAAGCATTTTTGATCTGATTTTAAGTAGTGTTATAGAAGAAGAATGTCAAATTTGGGAGATTTTTATGAGATAAAAGGTGATCGAGCGCCCTCATGCACTCTTTCCTGCTTGGCGTGGATTTTGATACGTGTAACACATTTACATTAAATACTGCCGTCTAAGGTAGGTAAAGTACGGTAATGTACCGTAAGGGAGGATATTAAGAGCTGATAAGCAGCAGAAGAACTAAACCGAACGAGGCCAAGTTCAGTGAAAACGTGATTCTATCGTCGCAGCTTTAGTCTTCGACAGGGGTATACTGCTCTCACATGTATTTGATTCCTGTGATGTGGGCGGTTTAAAGATTTCGATTTCCGGTGAGAACGCAGTGAATTACGGGTTCTTAGACACCCTGAAAGCTTCATCCTTGTGATCATTTGACATCACCGTACCTCGGTTCGTATTCCACCTCAGTCATCGCCGATATCATCGTTCAGAGAGATGGATGTGGGGATCTAGGGGTGTACGCTATTGAAAGGTGCATTTCGTCGGGGTCTCACTATTCACTATGGACAAGGACAAGATCGTCGAGGAAATCAATGTCCAGAAGGACGCAGGCTTCCACGCGGCCCTTCAGGACGCAGTCTACAATCTCTCACTGCACGACGTCAACCCAGTGAATGTCCAGGTGAGAAACCTGTCTCTCCATCTCGATACTTCCCCTCCGATATGGGAATCATCGCCATCACAGTTTTGGCGTCGTCTACGGGGTCAGAAAATCGAAGGCATCTCGAAGACGGTGCTCGATGGAGTCGACGCAAACATGCCGAGTGGCAGCTTGACTGCTATCATTGGTAGTAGTGGATCGGGCAAAACATCACTGCTCAATCTTATGGCCGGTCGCATGTCACTTTCTCGAGCTACCGTAGAGGGAAATACTACCTTCAATAAAAACGCCGATATCCAAAGCATCCGCAGTGCCTACGTGATGCAAGAGGACATTCTCGTTCCAACTTTGACTGTTCGTGAGACTCTGCGGTATTCGGCTGATCTTCGACTGCCACCTCCAACCACTCAGGAAGAGCGATATGCCATCGTGGAGCAGGTTATCCTTGAGCTGGGCCTTAAAGATTGTGCTGATACGCGTATTGGGACGACAGCCCACAAGGGGTGCAGTGGTGGTGAGAAGAGACGCACAAGTATTGGTGTGCAGTTGCTGGCCAATCCCTCTGTTTTGTTCTGCGATGAGCCTACGACAGGCTTGGATGCCACCAGTGCTTTTCAGATTATTCGCACCTTGAATCGGCTTGCTCGAGATGGTCGCACGGTGATCGTCTCCATTCACGCACCTCGTTCGGAAATTTGGAGCCTTTTCGACAATGTTATTCTCTTGGCTCGGGGATCACCATTGTACAGCGGATCAGTGAGCGACTCAGTAGCGCACTTCGAACAATGCGGCCATATTCTGCCCCCGTTTGTTAACCCTGCGGAGTTTTTGATCGATTTGGCGGCTATCGATAATCGCACTGAAACTCTGGAAGCAGCATCTTATGTCCGGGTGGACAATCTTCGACAGGCGTGGCAATCGCGACCGTTTACAGAGACCGAGGAGAAGCAAACTCCTCTGGCACCCGTATCGGTTGGAGGTGAAATAGGAGCAATGAAGAAGGTCTCTTTTCGTCGACAAGTGCGCGTCCTGACATCACGAACATTCAAGACAACTCTTCGCGACCCGATGGGTGTCGCTGGCAGCCTGCTCGAGGCTATTGGTATGGCGGTGATCAATGGCTGGATCTTCCTACAGCTTGATGAAAGCCTGGCAGGGATCCGCTCTCGAGAAGGCAGCCTGTACACAGCCAGCAGCCTAAACGGCTATCTCATTCTGCTGTATGAGACTTACAGATTGACCATCGACATCCGTCTCTTTGATCGCGAGCGCAATGAAGGCGTGGTCGGCGTTCCAGCCTTTCTCATCAGCCGTCGAATCGCACGATTCCCACTTGAAGACCTCCCGGTGCCGCTACTTTTTTCGGTCATCTTCTACTTCATGGTTGGCTATCGCCTTGATGCAGCACAATTCTTCATTTTCTTTGCCTTGACCGTGCTCACGCACTACATCGCCGTTACCTTTGCTGCAGTATCAATTGGCGTCTCAAGAAATTTCCCTGGTGCCAGTCTGGTTGGCAATTTGTCCTTCACCTTGCAGTCGTTTGCATGCGGGTATTTTGTTCAAGGAAATCAGATTCCCGTCTATGTGCGGTGGCTCAAATGGTGCGCCTATACGTTCTATATATTCGGAGCCCTGTGTGCGAACGAGTTTATTGGGCCGAACGGCTCTGAACTTGGTCAATTTTATGCCTGTCCATACTCTGACAATCCGCTCGATCCGGCTTGCAAGGAATATACTGGACGATACATCATGCAGAGCTTGGGAATGCCATCGAATTGGATTTGGCGGCCTATCATTGTGCTGGTAGCATTTATGCTCGCCCACTATTTTGTGGCCGGTCTGCTACTTCAGTACAATCGTTATGCCATCGACATTGCCCAAGCGCGAAAGTCAGAAGGCGATCCTTCTGCAGGAAAAGCCAAGACAGCAGTTCGTCCTGCCGAAGACGTGCGACGAGTCGCCATCTCGCTGGATAAATACGCCCTGGAGATTCGAAAGAAACAGCTTCCGTGGCAACGCCCTCTCTCGCTTCAGATATTGCATCCCATCACGGCGGAATTCCTTCCTGGAGAGCTTAATATCATCATGGGTCCATCAGGAAGTGGCAAGACATCGCTTTTAAACTCGATTGCCCGCCGCCTGCATGATTCGGTGGGGACCCGTTACCGTTTAGACGGTCGGATGCTGTACAACGGTGCAGTGCCATCGGAAAATGTGATTCGGTCGGTGACCTCGTTCGTCACGCAGGACGACGATGCCCTGATGCCATCACTAACGGTGAGGGAGAGTTTAAGATTCGCCGCAGGGTTACGATTGCCCACATGGATGTCTTCAGAGGAGAAAAACCGCCGGGCAGAAGAAATCCTCTACAAGATGGGTCTCAAAGAATGTGCGGACAATCTCATCGGCAGCGAACTAATCAAGGGTATTAGTGGAGGCGAGAAGCGCAGAGTCACCATCGCCATTCAAATCCTCACAGACCCCAGGGTATTGTTGCTTGACGAGCCAACCTCGGGTCTTGATGCTTTCACAGCGATGTCAATCATCGAGGTCCTAAAGGGCCTGGCAGCCGAAGGCCGCACCCTGATCATGACCATTCACCAGTCCCGTTCCGATCTATTCACCCATTTCTCGCAAGTCCTGCTCTTAGCTCGCGGCGGATATCCTGTTTACGCAGGCGATGGGCAACAAATGCTTCCCCACTTCGCGGCTCTTGACCACGAGTGTCCGCAGACAACCAATCCGGCAGACTTTGTTTTAGACCTGATCACGGTTGATCTGCAACAGGAAGATCGAGAAGCCATCACTCGAGAGCGTGTTCAACATCTCATAGCCAATTGGTCAGAGTCCACTCCTGTTCTGGGACGCACCGCGTCTCGGATTGCAACCCCTGCGGAGCTTGGTAGTCTTCGTCGCAAGATGCTGCCATTCGTGATCACTTTCCCGATCGTGCTCCGCCGGTCGTTTATCAACTTCTGGCGTCAGCCACCGCTCGTAATGGCGCGGTCGATGCAAGTTTTGGGTATCGGCATCATCATGGCGCTGTTCTTTGCACCGCTGAAGAATGATTATGCCGCTGTGCAGTCTCGCATGGGATTCGTCCAGGAATTTGCCGCACTTTATTTTGTAGGCATGCTTCAAAACATCGCTATCTACCCCAATGAGCGTGATGTCTTCTACCGCGAAGAAGCAGACAATTGCTATTCCGCTGAGACATTCATGCTATCTTACACGGCAATCGAGATTCCGTTCGAAATCATTTCATCCCTCGTGTTCGGTGTGCTGGCCGCATTTGCCGATAATATGAAACGCACAGTGCAGATGTTCCTCATTAGTGCATTCAACTGTTTCTGCATCATCAACTGCGGCGAGTCCGTGGGCATCATGTTCTGCACTCTGTTCTCGCACGTCGGCTTCGCCGTCAACATCACCTCTGTTTTGCTATCCATCTCCACTATCCTCGGTGGCGTGATGAGTCTCAACGTCAACGACGTTTTACAAGGCATCAACTACCTATCGCCAATCAAGTACGCGATTGCCAACCTAGCGCACTACTCGATGGAAGGTCAAAAATTCACCTGCACGTCTGCCGAGCGACTCGCCAATGGCCAATGCCCCATCAATACTGGAGAGGAGGTACTTGCACTTTACAACCTCAATAAAAACGGAGCAATAAACATCATGGCACTGGGAGTCGCCACGATCATCTATCGATTCGTGGCATACGCATTGCTCAAGGCGATGCGTTCTCATCACATGATGGAGCGGTGGCGAGAATGGCGGCGATCTCGTCGGACAAGCTGATGGATTTGCTACACTTACCATACTATGTATATTTCTACACCCCTATTTCCAACATATTTGAATGATAATGACTCTAGATATGATAATATTCAGCTCAGACCGCTAGTTATAAGTATATCATAGTTTTTCTGTTCCAAATCTGACGATGTTCGGAGATGGAACATGTGCATGAGGCTCTTCGCAAATGAACCGAGACCGCTGGTGGCGTCCATCAACTCTATTCAAAATAGACTGGTGGAGCTATAAACAGATTTTCGCATGTGATCTCATCATATGACTGGACGGATTCAATAACTCCTCGAATTCCGGTCGACCAGGGCGCTATCTCTTCCAAGGGTAACACTGTGGCTCGTCTATTGGACATGGTCATATTCAGCTACCCCAGCTTTGAACGTGAGACAAGTACCTCGACTACATAAGGGATGCGGTGCCATTTGTTTCAACCCGACCGTGTCGGCGCCACCACACCTTCACCAGATGACGCTGCTACCGCCAAGGCACTCATTGATCTCTCCGTTATTGTGCTAATCTTGAACCGCGGCCTATTGAAGATTTACTCACTCATAGTGTTCTTTTATAAGGCCATGAATCGTGAGGTGAGGTATCCGCCTTCTTACTCACCCGGCCTCAACGGTTTTATCTGCAGAGGTCCTGTAATCATACGGTTCAGTCAATGGTAAAGCTTCCCCAGGGTTATAATGTAAATTACACTGGGAGGCCCGCCCGCCCCATCAAGTCCCCCGCTAGATGAGGCTCTTTCACGTGCTATTTTCAGCCCAGACCGCAGTCTAGTGGCAAGCGCTTACGAGAGACCAAAACATCGAGCAACGACGACGCGTGCATAGGACGATCTAATGAAAGATGTTTAGTCTTTGAACTGTCACGTGTCAGAGTGCAGAAAATACGCCTCGTCTATGTAGACTTTCAGATGCGTTATGACTGGGGTCCAAATAAGGGGTTTCATGTAAGTGCAATTAAGGTAATGAAGTCAGCGCTTACATACTTCATTTTGACAAGCCTCAGTCAATCGTTGGAGTGGACTGGCATATCAGGGCCTTGAACTTTCTGAACAGTCGGAGGAACAGCGCGGGAGAACATGAGGCTATGACCACTTTTTTTGTCTGGCCGTATCTGACTTGTGATGGATCTTATTAGGATAATACTGTATCTACGCCTCTTCAGATCCGATGGGAGCCAAGAAGCAAAGTCGGTCCTGGATTAGGATCTCAAATGTGAATATCTTGGAATCGCTTGTATCATTAATAGCTGATTTTTTAGAGCTTAGGTATTATAGCATTTTGTCGCGGCCCCTGGGGTGTCAACCCCCGTAGTGACAAAGGTAGAAAGGGCTGGTTTCCTTATTGTCTGTCCATTTGCCTGGCAATTGCAAACGAGCCAACTATTGCCCCCTATAAGAACGAGATCTGCCACAGTATGAACGGAAGAGATACCTTCCGAGATCAAGTCCGAGAAGCGATCAAGGAGAATAAAAGGAACTCGCCTGAACTGGGCGGTACCGGCACTGATTGCCATGCCGGACCGCGCCTGCAAAGGTCTTCCACCATAGACATCCATGCCGTTTTTCTTGTCTTCTATTTCTTTTCTATACTTCTGGAATACCATCGCTTCTCGTTCCTTGTATTTTCATAGGTCTAACATGTTGCAGTGGATGGTGACAGATAAGTCCGGTTAGATAGAAGACAAGAGGCAGGACCAGCCTCACCTACTCCACGGAAATTGAAGTGTTCCGATAACGGGCAACTCCGGTCGAAACTCGGCTCGAGGGCTGGTTTTTCTCATCGTCAAGTCTGGGTCGATTCATTCGGGCACAAGCCGGATGTTATTCGACTGTAATGTAATTGGATGGAGTGAAATATTCCAAGTGTGGTTGAACCGGTTCCAGATTCTCTCGGGGACCGGCTCAACCACCCAAAAGTATCAGAAACCCTTCACACTTGGGTCCCAAATGGCCAAGCCGGAAGAGAGAGTTCAGTACCTGTTTTCCGGTGTTGGGTCGCACCTTTCGGGGAGGGCAATGGATCAGGCACTACCCGACCCGAGCTGATGCAATAGGATCAGTCATCCTACAGTATACAGTATACAGTATACAGTATACCCCTAGAGAACCGGTTTGACCAGGGGGGAAAGCCCTAGGCCCTGAAACGACGGCACGGTCGGATCTATGATGATTCGTTGTGGAGCGACACGTCTTCGACGGGGATCTACGATCCGCGAGTAGGCTTTGTCCCTGAAGTGTCTCCACCGGGCGCATTTGGTCGAATCGGATGATTTAGTCGGGGAACCTGTAAAAATTCAAGAGTGTCCCTGTCTATCATTCGATCTAGAGCCCCCCTCAGCTCGAAGCGAGTATTGATTTTCGCGCGCGGCTCCACGTTTGAGTTTGTTAACAAATCATACTTGGTTCCAGCCAATCTTTCCCTGTTCCGTTTTTTTTTCTTTCCTTTTTTCTTATCCAAGAAATCGGTGAAAGATTTTTTGGGGGTTCTGATTAAAGTTTTGCAGTCTGTGCCTCGGGCTTCGGTCGTGGAAGTATGACAGGCTGGGAAACGAAAGGGAAACGAAAGGGAAATGAAAGGGAAATGAAAGTTGAATGAAAGTTGAATGGATGTATCAAAGAAGGGTTTTTTTCAAACGTGATAAATTCAATCTCTATAGTCTATCATGGCCATCCCCTTTCTCTAAACTCCCGGAGATCCAATCTCCATATCCTGTCCTAGGGGTATTCAAAAAAGACATCAAAAATCATAGCTCGTAGACGACGTCCTGACCGGGCGGGATCAACCGCTCTCGGCGAGGAGACATGTCGAGTCAACCGAACATGTGGAAACAAGTCCAATCCAAAAAAAAAGGTCACCAACTGGGGTGAAACGAAGAAACAAAGAGATCACCAAGCTGGCTGGTGAGACGAAAGGTAAAGACCCTTAATAAAAGAGTGCGCGGGTCAACCGGCAGGTTCATGTCATGTATTGACCAGTTTAAGACTGGCCAAGGTTAAGAGCCAGACCGGTGTCGATGGGGCAGCCGTGGGTGGCGTGGTCATCAGTAGGGAACAGGTAGGCGGCGGCGCAGGCGGCATCACCGGCAGAGCAGACAGCGGAGGGGCAAGAAGAGGACTGGCCCTCGGAGGGCAGGACGGAGAAACCATAGGTGCTGAACTCGGAACCAGACTCCATGTTGATGCAGGACAGATCCCAGAAGATGGTATCGGTGGCCTGGGTGTACTCGAACTGGAGCACATCGGTCTGGCTGGGGTCGGTGGCCAGCTTGATGGAAACACCGCCGCCGTTGGGGTTGGTCTGCCAGGCCTCGGAGTAGGTACCGCCGTTGGCAGTCAGGGTCTGCATGGAGCCGACAACGTCGGTCACGGACCAGGCGTAGACGTCCATGTTCAGGTTGTTGGTGATCATGACGGAGCCACTGGCGGGGACGGTGTCGTTACGACGGACCATCATGCCGGAGGGCAGGGCAGAAGCCAGAGTGGCGAAGGCAGCGGCAATGCCGAAAGTCTTGGTGAACATCATTTTGATAGAGATTGTGTTGGGTCAAAAAGACTGTGGGTTTTGATATATAGATAGTGTTTTGTAAGGATTGTGGTCTGGTCGACAGACGAAGGAGTGTCTCGAGAATCGATCTCGGAAAGGAAAGTAGGTCTTCAAGGAGTGAGAGACGTGGTTTGATAGAGAGAAAGATCGGGGTGGGTGAGGCCCTCTTTATAATTTTAAGAAGGGTCCCTGGCAGGGACCCCAGACAGGTACCAATTCAGCAAAAAACGTGTCGGGTGCAGCCACGCAGACCTGATCCATGGATCGAATCTAGGAACAGTGGAACCTCTAAAAGGCAAAATCAGATGAGTGGACCCTCGAAGGCGAATCACGGCGGGGTCAATGAAAGTGACGGAGCGATTCGCCTGACGTCGCATCGTTTCATGGTCTGGACCACAGAGGGGATTCTTCTTTTTAGGGCGCCAAGTTGAGTATAGTGTAGCCCTGGAGGAGAGGGCAGGTATCAATTCTACACTCTATACATCAATTCATCCTTGCACTAGACGAAGTCCAGTACTTTTGTCTCGGGTAATTTTCCACAATCTACCATGAAATAGAGTATGCGGTGTGATATAGAATCAGTTGTTCAGAAGTGACGTGTCGCTCGTACCTGACAGTCCCGAGCAATGATGGGAAATGGCAATCTTGCAGTGCGTGTATGGTACAAAAGTGCGTGCATTTTATCCCAGGCCATACTAGTTCCGTGGTAATAGCCACTACTCCACTTCACGTTCCGTCCCTCCAAACGGCAAAAAAAAAAGGAAACCTTGGGACAACTTCTTCATGGCATTTGGCATTTGGCCTCGGCAACCCATAGATCCTAAATAGTATCAAATAGCCACCCCAGGAACCATGGTGGCACTGCGGCCTTCGGACTGGATTTTTGCCATAAAAAAGAGACCGGATAATGGATAGAGATGCCCGATCTGACTGGTGACCGGATGTTGGCCGTTTCGACGTGTCCCCCTCCACTCCACCTGCCTATCACATCCCCTCGACAAGTCGCCCGCGCGCACAGTTTCTGTTCCTGAAAATCTCGCATCTGTGGCTAATCCACACCGTCAGAATTTTCTTATTCTCCATTCTATACTGCGTACACGCCTCTGACGTCGCCCGGCCTCTTAGGTACCTGGCGATCAAGTCTGGATTTTTTTTTACCAAATGACTGTGGCGATGCGCGGTTTCCATCCTGGTTTCTTTTTTTATTCTATCATATCTTGTATTTCGTAATTGGAATTGCTGGCCCCGAACACCTGAAACCTTGAACCCTGACCCGCGAACGGTTGGTCTCTACTCATCAACTGATCATGTGCGCACCGACATTGAATATTCTATGCATACTCCGATCGTTCTAGTCTCGGCCCAACACTGCGTCCGGCCAGCACCGGACGTTACCTTAACGAGTGGGACTGGGACCTGACTAGACTAGGAGTTGACTAGGGTAGAGCGGGGAGGCAAACACTGGAAAGTTCACCGAAACGGTCCCAAGGCTTTACCCGGCGATCTTCCAGAATGCCTGTGATTATTCTAGACCGCTCCTGTTGGGCCGGAGGGTCAGAGGGGCCTTCCAAGAGAGGGGGCACATGTTAGCCCTTCCGCTGATCCGTCTGGTACCTGCGGCCTAGTGCCCGGGGTGCGGTGTCCCGCTAGACCCCATTTCCGTCTTAGTCCGCGATGTATGCCCATCAAGGTGGGCTAGATGGTCCAGATCAAAATGGTTAATAAACAATACTAGGTATACTACTGTGTACAGAGCTCTCCAATGTGTCGCATGCCCTGAACCCTCCAGGGCTCCCCCCGCCTGGTGGAGTTCCCACAGCCACTTTGAGTCACCTTCCCAGTTGGGCCGGCGTTCTCCCGTCCCTTTTTCGTGCTTAGGACCAGGGTGCCTGCAGCCCAACGGGGGCCCGGAGCTGGTGGGATCAGTGCCGGGACCTACGCCTGCTGGCCTCTGATCTGGCTGCTCCGGGCTTACCAATACGGCGCCCGCATAGCCGACAAACTAGCCAATGTACTCTCACCCGTTGTTTCCTCCTTCTTGCGGTGACCGGCAAGCTCGAGATTGATCTGCCGGTGAATGTGTACCAACCAGTCCACGTAGCTTTGGGCTTCGTTGTTCCGGTCTTCCAGTAGCAATCGGGCAAATTCATACTCCGCCCCATCAAGTCCCTGTCGTGCCAACTGGATCGTGACCGCTTTAGATCCGCGCACGGTGGAGAAGTATTGCAACAAGTTCCGCACTTGGGCGTTGAGATGTGTCTCCAGCACCGGCAGAGCCGAGAGATTGGGACTCAGTACCTGTAGCGAGTTTTGACCGGGGCCAAACAAGTCCTCCAGAAGGTTTGGTGAGACTTGCGCATGCAGCCACAGTAGAACGGTCTGGCCATTGTCCACGAGATAGACACCGCCCTCCTCAATCTTGGAGAAACTAGCCCGTAGTGCTGGTGGTACTTGGAGCTGTCCGTGCTCATTGGGGAATCCGTCCTCCGGGTTCATGTTATGGATGGGAAGAATACGAGGGTAGAGGTAGAGGGATAGCTCCGTGCAGCCGAAGGCTCGTATCATGCGCATGTCGTGAGTCCGGCGGTCTGACGCCTCGTTGCCACCTAAAAAAACAAGTTAACAAAAGCCGTGCTCGTGCGGTCGTAGTCTCTCTCACCCTTGAATGCTCTTGACTTGATCAAGCTGAGCATGTACATGGAGAATTCTTTCAAGTTCTCCGGCAAGACCAGCTGGCCAGGTGGGTGTGAGCCAGAAAAGATCTTGCGGTATCCGCTAAAGATATCGACCGTCTTCTCAGAGATGTTGGCACGAATATCCTTGAGGTTCTTGTCGAGTGTCTTGGAAGCAGCTATAACAGGTGGTTAGTATACCATCACCCATCAAACTGTAGAGTATTAGAGACTCCGAACTTACCTTCCTTGGCGATGACCGACACGACGGCATCCTGATCCACGAATTTCACTGTCTCCATGGCGCCGTCGTTAACAGCGGCCACCACATTGATACAGCGGACCCGGCGTTGACCATCAGCCGAAGTATAGAGCAATGCAGCCTGGAAGTGAGCATCAAGCTTGGGATCAAGCTTTCCGTCGTAGCTGAAGATGACTCCGATGGCCTTGTCCGCATCGACACTCGCGATCTCGAGGTCTGCACCAAGAGTATTCTGCACGAAATTGCCGTGGTACGAAGACACCTGGAGACCATTTGAGCATCGCACTTTCATCAATGCCTGGTAACCGGTATCTCGTTGCACGACATGTGCCATCTCCCGCCGGATTTTCAGGAGATCGCGTGGGGCATGGAAGTTGGGATAGAAGAAGGTCTCGCTGCCAGTAAGGCCAGAGACGTGCCCTATATCCAAAATCAGTTGATTGCATGGTGGGTTTTGCGTGTTTCGACTTACCAATGGTCGCCACGTCCATGTATGTGCCACCGGGAGCGGCAATGAAGAGATCCACGCCGACTCCAGCCTCGGCGAACTTGGTCGCTGTCTTCTTCCAGGCCGGGTTCTCTGTGGTGAACAATTTGCGTTCCGCATCGGTGCCGTGTAACTTGGGATCCTCCCGCACCGAAAGCTGTCCAGGCCCCCAGGTAGGCAAGCTTGCCACTGAGCAGACAACTTTACCGCCAGTCTGCTGTAGCGATGCAAGAGCAGCGTTAAGGGCGGGCAACAAAGCCGGGTCGGGATTTTTAATATGTTGAAAAATAGTAGGTATCCGGTTCAGCAGCGATGTAATAACGGACCTAGTTCACTTTGTTAGCAGGCTTATATGCAGATTGAATGTTGACCTGTACATACTTAGATTCGTAGGGATCGACAAACAGACCCTCACCCAATGGTACGAAAGGCTCCTCTAGATCCGTCATTACCATCATCTGGGCCTGATCCAGTGTCGCCTATGTTGCTGTCAGTATGAAGCAAATTGCTTGTGGATAATTATTTCACCTACAGTAAGGTTGTAGAACTGCACTTCCTTATCAAATGTGACAATTCCGATCTTTGAACCTGTGGGGATTCTGCGTGCCTTGGCTTCATCGCCCTCGGTTCCATCTGCTGCCCCATCCTCGCCATACAGGGCCTCCGCGATACCCTCGCAAACACCCTTCAAGAAGCCTCGGTGAACTGACTCCCGGCTAACATCGATCAAAAACACGGTCTGCAGACCAACGGGCTCCTTGTTCCAATATTCCTTTGGCACCAAGAATTCCACCGTGCCCATCATCAATTCTGGCCGCTGCATACGGTCCACGCGCGCGCCGGATGGATCGAGGGGCGCAAAGTATTCGGATGACGTATCATTGGGGAACGTGCACATGTTGCAGACAAACTTGCTACCACCGGCGCGGAACGACATAAAGGGGTTGATGTAGGTTCGGCATCGTCGACATCTGGGGGGGCCTACGTCTCCGAAATCCAGCACGGGAATGGGTTGTTCGCCGGCGTCCAGAGGTGCTAGTGGTTGCAAGATCATGCCTAGAGGTAATCCGGTAGAGGAGAGGAAGTCGGAGGTCGAGGGAATGTTGTTGAGTGTCAGACGAGCGTATTTCGGTGAGGAGTTGCCCTGGTCGTGGGCGACAAAGGGAATTGACGATGGCGGAGGCAAATGCCGGTCCATAGTAGGATAGACATGGTTGAAATAGTACTGAGCGGGCACGTCGCGTGATCGAGGGATGCTTGGGATCTGTTCGGGGTCAATTCGACCTTGTGTAGCGACGGAATCCGCACCACCGGCCATGCCAGGCTGCGAACCTATTCCCGGCTGCGCGGTCTGCCCTTGCTGGAGTGCAGCCAGCGGCGACACTGGTCGCGTATCCTGATTGAATCCAGTGCTAAGGAATCGAGAATCCTGCTGCGGCGCGCCTGCCATGGGCATCCCACTAGCAGGAGCAGCACTCCCGGTTCCAATATCGTGATAAGCATGGCGGTGCTTCTTCCGATGTGTCTTAGCTCCAGCATCTGGCGCAATGCCCAGGCCACTCATCTGAGAAGCCAACCCTGCCATGTTCGGGTCTCCTGCCCCCATGGGAACTGGCTGTGCATTGTATGCCTCCGCGGGTCCGGGCTGTTGCTGAGGAGAACCGTATGTAGACCACTGGTTCGGTGCCGGGTTACTGTAGGAAGCTCCTGGTTGCTGCGGAGCCGCACCAGGAGAGTATGGTTGTTGAGGTGCAGCGCCTGGAGAGTAGGGCTGTTGAGGGGGAATTGCGAGTGTGAGTTAGAGGGGTCTTGACCCCCCATTGTGTGATACATGGAAGGATCAGCCATTATGAATCACGGCTAGGATCCAAGGAAATAGAGAGAAAAGAAGCTCAGCGGAGCATGACCAGGGATGATTGCAGCACCCCGCGAATGTTGACGATATACCGGATTGACCACCTAGCCTTAGTTCCCCACGGATTTACGTGCTTCCGAGGTTCTTCACGTGTCGAACCATAAACAGTCAGGACTGTATTTCGTGTTCTCACCTCTTTTTTTTCGTTTAAGATGGAGGCAATAATCAATCTTTTTTTTGACAGCTTTTTTTTGTTTGACACTCATAATGCCTTTATGGTACGATAGCGTTAAAAACCAAAAAAAAAAAAAAAAAAAAAAAAAAGCGGAACGCCCAGCCGACTCTTCATTGTTCCAGAAACGTCCTATAACGGAATATTTAAAGGGGCCTAAACACTAGAATTATTCTCTCGACCCTTTTACATAGCTTACACAATTCTAAGAGCGTTAATTCTCTTTTAATCTATTACTCAAGATATTGTATCCAGACACAGATTGCAACGCGTCTCCAAAGACGGACACGCGAATCATGGCGCCGCCAAACTAGACCCACCAGTAGTCCTCTTGGCTATGTCGTCTTAGTTACCTCGAGACATTCTCACTGAATATCTCGATCTTATATCCCTGTCCACGTTACTATCAATTTGAGCACACCCCTGTGCGAACGTGCATCTGTTCGAATCAATTGATTCGCGCTGATCGCCTTGGTCTCCGTGATGGAACGAGTGCCGACATTTGACCCATATTTGGCCTAGGGTTCTGCATCTCACCGTCGTTTCGACTCTCCTGGATCGGACCTTTGCCCCTCCATCTGGCGTCACCGTCCTAGTAGATATAAAATCTGTAGCATAGGACCTCGTAAGTGCATATCTTTTTATATTATATTTTTTTTTCTGCTTTTTCCATCGCCCCCTCCTTACCTACACACCAACCTTATCTATACTTATGGGCCAGACGGTGAAACCCCCAGACCCGGATCGCAAACCTAGAGGTGGTCAAATTCAAGATCCTGATTCGATATCACCTATCCCCTCCCTGATGGCGACTATTCAGGATGACGATGAGCTGCTGTTGGCTCGAATTGGATACAAACAGGTACCTGCGCCCGTGTTACCCTGCACGCCCTTTATCGGCCCCCTCTAATCGCAACCTGATCAGGAATTGCGACGAGAGTTCTCGAAATGGTCCACCGTCTCGTATGCCATCTCCATCCTAGGAGTCCTTGGGTCGGTGCCAGCAACATTTGGCTCGCCGCTATCGGCTGGTGGTCCGGCCACGGCTGTATGGTGCTGGTTGATCGGCTCCTGCATGGCGATGTGTATCGGCAGTTCCGTCGCGGAATTGGTCTCGGCCTATCCAACCGCCGGTGGCATGTATTTCGTTACCAAACATGTTGTTCCGGCCGATCAGGTCCCAATCTTCTCGTGGATCCAGGGTTGGTGCAATCTGCTCGGTCAGACGGCTGGTGTCTCCAGTGTGGCTTATACCGTTAGCCAGATGCTACTGGCCGGCGTTAGTATGAACTCGGATCTGGTCGAAGGCCAATATTCTTATTCACCGTGAGTCTATCATTTTTCCCATTTTATGACCCTGCTCGTCCTCTGACATGCCGCTAGGACCGCACTGCAGACTGTTTTGGTATCGATTGGGCTGCTGTGCATAATCGGCGTGATCTGTTCACTGACAACAAAAACCCTGCACCGAATCATTCTTTGGTTCGCTCCAATTAACAGTATGATAAAACGTCATCTAAAATGGACGCTGCTAACGGCAGCATAGTATCTGCAACTATCTGCATTTGTATTGCATTGCTGTATCTCACTCCGGATAAACAACCCGCCTCGTGGGTCTTTACCCACTTCACTGACGGGTCCGGGTGGGGCTCCAAGGTATTCTCGTTCTTTTTAGGCTTCTTGTCTGTTGCTTGGACTATGACAGACTATGATGGAACGACTCAGTGAGTCCTAATATATGTACTTCAATACCCGATAGACGCTCACATCTATCTTAGCATGTCGGAGGAAACCCATGATGCCGCTGTGAGAGGCCCAGTTGCTATCAAGACCGCGGTGTTGGTCTCTGGAGTATTTGGCTGGATGTTGACAGTCTGTATGTGTTTCTGTCTCACTGAGTTTGATGAGATCCTGCATAGCCCGACTGGCCTCCCCGCCGCACAGATCTTCCTGAACGCCGGTGGAAAGGTAGGCGGTTCCACCATGTGGGCTTTTGCCATCTTGGTGCAATTCTTCACGGGCTGTTCAGCCATGTTGGCCGATACAAGAATGGCATACGCCTTTGCCAGAGACAACGCGCTGCCCTTTTCCGAGTTCCTATCAAAGGTCAACCCTTATACTCAGACTCCCATCAACGCTGTCTGGTTTGTGGTCTTTTTCAGCGCTGGTCTCAATTGCATTGCCATTGGATCTACAGAAACTGCTACTGCCATTTTCAGCGTCACGGCTCCGGCACTTGATCTGTCTTATGTGTCTGTCATTCTCGCTCATCAGATATACAAGAGGAAGGTCAAGTTCATCGAAGGCCCCTTTACACTTGGCAGATGGGGCACTTTGATCAATTATGTTGCTGTCATTTGGGTGTTGTTTATCAGCACTATCCTTTTCTTCCCATCTCAGCTGCCAGTGACACCGGCGAACATGTGAGAATCCTTTCATGCTTACTACTGTACCCTTCTAATCTTGGTCATAGGAATTACGCGATCTGTGTTGCTGCCTTCATTGGATTATTCTCCCTAGTTTGGTGGTGGGTCGCTGCGAGAGGGTAGGTATACAGTCCATCTCATGAGGAGAGCCAATATTAACACTTCTCCGCAGAAAATACACGGGTCCCCAAACCAACGACATCATCCAGGAAATTCCTTCAGAGGATACAAACGACTGCGAAGAGCCTGACGATATTACCGTCTAGAGACTACTGCATGTGCCGGCTCAATAATCTTAATCCGACAATCTTAGGACGAAGTGCTGGGCACTTCTATAGACTTCATAGAACAGAAAAAAGGAATAGATTGGATTAAGAAAAGTTCGACGCCTTCTTTATGTGCGTTGATCAGTCTAGGAAAAGGGTTCAAAGAACCTTACGAGCTAGCATAGATGATCATGAATAATTTCTTCATTGCAGATCAAGTTATACATCAGTGGATGGTAAAATTACATACGTAGCCTGCCTTAATTTCCTGCCACAACAGCCAGGCCTTCATAGATCTTCCTCTTCACGGCCAAGAAGCTACCGGCACCGCGACCTTGGGTGGCCTGATTGGCCGATGATTGCGCCGAAGCTTCAACCTCGATCTTGCCAGTGCCTGACTTCCGCACTGCCACTGACTTGTCAATGAGAAGTGTACCTTCACCCCGGAACTCGGCGGTGTGACCAGCCGCCTGCATCAGTTTGCGCAGATCGGCCAGTCGTAGATCGCCAACATGCAGTGGTCGGGCCGCCGATCTGGTTCCTGCAGCCATGCTGACAGGTAAAGTATCAAGAAGAGGGATCAGGGCTGATTTGTCTGCAGACTTGGCGTTGTTCGATGTCGGGGTGACTGCGGAAGAGGCGGCCTCGTCTTTGACCATTTTCATCTTCTTGCCAGATGCGTCGGCACCTGCGCTTTCATCGTCATCGGTGGATTCAGGTCCTCGCAATTGTGCGGTCAGAGCGACGACGCCCAAGCTGCGAACGTGCTGCCAGTTCAGGCGGCGGACAAGGCTGTTACTCAGCTTGACCATCCAAGCATTGGTGTCGACACTGGCATCAATAACTTCACCATTCACAGGTGTGAAGATGATCGCGGCGGCTTCGGCAGCAGCAGCAGAGACATCTACTCCGGCCTTGGCAGCCAGGAGCTTCTTGCACTCAGCTGCCAAAGCAGAGGTTTCTTCTTTCATTCCACCAACCAGAATCAGCTTCTGGGGTTGGATGAGGGGAATCAACATCTCCAGACTGCGCTTATCGTGCAAGCCCATACAGTCAATAAATGCAATCCGAGCGTTGATCGTAATTGACTCCTTGTTGTAGACGGCCTTCGCAGGTCCTTCGAGTGCTTGACCATCAACCTCGTCTTCAGAAGATATAGCGGCATCGGCATCTTCACCAGAAGCAAGGCTGGCATCATCACCTGGACCTGACTCGGCCCTTTGGCCATCTTTGGACACTTGCTGGCGCTTACGTCCAGCCGCACCTCCAGAAAGTCTGCGGCCACCAGTACCGGTGGCGTCGTCCCATCGTCTTTTTTGACCAAGCTTGGTCTGCGCGTCAGACCGTCGCTGTTGCATGTCGATTTCTTCGCGCTCCTCTGCTCGTAGGTATTCTTCAGGTCGAATGAACTCTCCGTATTCATCACCCTTCTTTCTTGATGCAACGTATGGGAACATGCGTTCACGTCCCTTCTTGCCGCGCACGTCATAATCGTAGACATTCTTGCGTCGAAGTAGAACGTTAATGCCCAGATCTTCGTCGGTAAGGGCTAGCTTGCTTCGGTTCGAGTGGGCAAGTGATGCTGAGAAGTTGAGCACACGACCTTGCTGCTCGGAATCCGAGTCTTCTGAAGAGGTTGAGCTTGACCGGTCGTCCAGTGCGTCGGCTACGGTCTCAAGTGTTTCCTGGCCACGCGCTTGGGTGGTATCCTGGAGTTGTCGTTTCGTGGCGAGATATTGCTGATATAGTAGTTGCTCGCCAGCATCCAGAGGGCCTCTTTGTACGTCGGTCCATGTCAATTCCCGTCCGCCGCTGTGGACCTGTTCGAGTAATTCCCCATCGGCTGTTCTCTCCAGCGCCACACCGTCTCTCCGCTCTTCATACCATTGCCAGATCATACTTCCAATTGACATCGTATTGTGAGCCTCTTGAACCTCGGGCACTTTGGTGCGGAATGATTCCGTCAGCAACAGAAGGTTGTTGGGACCCTCGGCGACCCGTCGAAGAGATTCCTTGGAGAATCCCCAAGCCAATGATGTGTCTGAGGCAAGAATGACTTTGGGGCCTTGGTCTGTCAGAAGCTTATCGAGTCGCTTCTTACGTTCGACGGTCTTCAGATGTTTGAAATGGAAGGGCCCTCCACCTTTTCCGGAACTTTTGTCCTGTCCCTGTCCACCTGCCTTTTGGCCAGCCGCGTCCGCGCTTTCAGCAGCTTCAAACTCACGAATAATATTCTCGTCCATCCATTCAAGCATACTACGGGCTAGGCGCAACGTGGTGTTGACCTTTTTGCCAGCCAGATAGAGACCGGCACCTTTCAGCACATCGTCCTTCTCGCCAGTCGCCGCGTCACGCCAGGCGTGTTCAAGTGAATAAACCAGTTCAAGGACCCGCGCACTTGTGTCCGTTGGAATGAGAACAGTACCGCCTTTGGCCAGACTGCTTCGGATCATATCAAGCAGCAGATCATCTCGCTTCTTGCGACCTCCAGATGGGGCGAACTTATCACCTCCCTGGGAACTGCAGATCAAAGCTGTTGGCTTCCGCAATGACTCAATGACCTCTGTTCCGCTGGCTCCAGAACCACCAAACCATGCAGCGCCTGCTACAACGCCCTCGCGTGCCTGGTTCCAATCCATTGCGTAAACAATAGACTCCATTCCATGCTGGATGTGCCAGATAGTTCCACCCACGGTGTGTCCGGCATTGTAAGCGGTAAGCGTAAGCCCATCCAGGGGCGGCGAGAATGGAGATGGAGTCGGTTGGTGGGGTTGCGAATACTTGAGAGGCTGAATCAAAGAGAAGTATCGAGCGATTTCTTCCGTCGTTGGAGCCGGGAGAAGAACCTTTCCGGTGCTGCCAGCAGCTTTGGGGTTTCCTTCGCCTTCCCCGGATACTGCAGAAGCAGCCGTTGCGGCGCCGGGTTCTGATACCGATGCATTGGGTAGAAATGTCGCGGCGAGAGGTGCCGAAGCATAAAGGTCTTGTAGGCTTGTGCGACCGAGGGCGATCACTGGGCTTGTCGCATAGATAGGGATCTGAGAAAAGAGAGGGAAGGTTCGACAGCAGTGGACGAAGGCGCCGATATGCGCCGAAGTCGCGTGGGTGATAAGAATGAGGGAGAGAGTCGGAATATGCCTGTACAAAGGTAATGTTAGCACTGAAGTGAAGACTTCGGTTGATTAGACTAACTTCTCCAGCTCCACCAAGTCACGAGTGTCAAACGTATCGTCCCATCCGACGTCCACGAGGATCTTGATGCCTCCGTCAAGCTCTAGGATAGATTGCGATGCCCTTGATGACGATGACTGCGCACCTAGCAATGGAGTGAAAGTGAACATCTTGCTTGCAGGTGTTCAGCGACTGAGCATTTGCGACTGCGTTGGACCGAGCGTGTTCGGGAGGGGAACACGTCCAATCGAGTTGAAGGCCGGATGTTGCTTCTAAAAAAGGAGATAGCGCATGATATTGGAGGCTTCCCCGGAGTCACAAGCTGTTTTCTAGCGAATACAGGGTATCACAGAAGACCGGTCGAAATCGGGAGGAATCAACTGTCGCGGAGCTGTCTTTGTCGGCCATGTTTGCGCGGTTTGTACACTACCTGTCATGTGACCTTGATTCAACTGGCCAATCATGGGGGGTTCCTGAACTATGTACAGAATTACAGTTCTACGACTTGGATTCCGTTTCAGTCTTCTCTACTACAGGTGGCAATCTAAAATACGCCGACTCAATATGCCTTCAAAACAGTCAGAGTCCATTAACAAGTCTCTTCCAGCTTAAAAACAAAACTTCACTCTCGTCTAGATCATCATGACCGCTACTCTCTCCAGCTAGATCTTAGGAGTAGTCTCTTGCTAATCACGTCTCACATTACTCTCAATAAAATAGTCTCACTTTTGTTTGACTTTCTCGGGCCAAATGGCCGGAATGTGGCACTTGAACGGGGGAGCTGACGAGGTGCTTTGTTCGCCACATCAGGCGGCAGCTCAATGCCAGTCCTTGGCCTGATACGACGAAAGACGGTGTTTGATGGGAAATACTTCCCCCGCTCGTGAGCGTCATCACAGATCTGCTCGCATTTGTTGTAGTACGACGTCCCTTCGTTACTATCGTGGCTCATAAGAGTCGCAGCGGCCCCTGCAGCCAACTCCTCCTCCTCATCTTCTTCCTCTTCCGAGGCACTTCCATGTTCTTCTATATCTGGCCCCTGGTTTTAATAGAGCCTCTTACTTTGAACAGCAGCGGGCTGAGGGGCCTTTATAGGCTTTTTCAGAATCGTGATTGGTCTTATAGCTACAATGACGTGTTAGCATTCACCGAGGACTTTCCATTTAGTTTCCACCTATGAGACAAGAATATATCTACTTACTGTTCTCTTCACTGCGTTCTGAAGCAGTATAGGTATACCCCAGCCTGTTTGGCTTTTTGCGATCGCGCCTAGGAGTCCTGCGGGTGGGTGCAGACCCAGTCTTTTGCCTCTTTCTTGTAGGTTTCGGGGACGTGGATGCTTTCCTCTTTCTGCTTGCTGGACCAACCGCTGGGGTTCTTCCTTCTTTGCTGGACGATGGCTCGGATAGACCAGTTTTAGCAGAAGACAAAAGAGAAGATGAATCACTATCGGATTCCTTCTCCTGACACCAGGAGGGCTCAGATAGACCAGACTTAGCCTCAGATAGACCAGAAGATGAAACAGTATCGTATTCCGTCGGAACTTGCTCTTGCTCGACTTCTGGGGCCTCCTCTTCCGGCAAGCCCACCACTTCATCTATATCATCAAAACATTAGCGATCAAAATCATTTCGGAAACGGGCCATGCAATTGTAGTATGTTAGGGATGTCAAGAATGTCAAAAATCTCCACTTGAGGTCATCGTACCCAATGACTATTCATAATCTGGCTCAGGTGACGAGAGATACTCCGCTCTGTTCGTCCAAATGTGTAGACTGCGCTGGATAGAAACTACACTCTTTTGACACGTTTCTAATTACATCATCTGATGATTTTGAACGAATACAGAAATAGACATAGGAACATGCTGAGAACCAAAACGATAACACAGACCCAAACACATTTGTACTCACCAACTCGTGCGGTCCGACCTCCTCCATCTTCAGTCGTATCCATTGGGTCAAGGCCTAGTTCAGGGTCATTCGGTGGATCCATTTCCATTGGATCGCCACAAGTTTCTTTAAAGGCCTCTGTGGGATTTCGCCTGGGGTATGTTCTAGAAACAATAGGGCTGGGTAGCCCTGGACGGGGAGTCCCAAGGCGACCTTCCCTGACGCGTGTTGTAGAGGAATTATCCTCATCAGAAGATGTCTCTAGCAGATTTCCAACGTCATCTGGTCGATCAAACACTTCTCTCATATGAGAAAACAGTCTCTGTGATAACATCCCTAATCTCCTTGGGTCTCTGGCTTCACCGGGCCGCGTAGCCAAATCGTCCCGAATGTAGGTATCCCAGAAATTTCTAGTGTTTTCATATCTCTTCATCGTGCCGTCGAGATTCTGTGATCCATATCGGTCTTCGGGGAAACATTTTCTGGGTAGCGAAGGAAGTGGTGGCAGCGGATCTTCCACATATTGCACTTGCTTCTGAAGAGGTCCGCTCTTGATTGACTGTCGAAGTTGATCTCGAGAAACCCAATCACCCATAATCTCCTCGACTGATCGGTACATGAATTCAATGATTTGGTCTTTGGTGAACCCATTCCAGTAAGCCTCATTGTTGCCTGCGTCAAATACCCATTGCAATCCACCAAGCCCTATTGTTGAATCAAAGGCTCTGGGTGCCTTGTACTCTGCCTTGTATTTGGCATGAGTCGGGCTCAATCGAACGTCTCCCGTCGGGACTGCGCCAGGGATCTCCCACTTTCCGGTGGCCTTTTTGATCAAGTCTTTCGAAAGGTCCTTCCCTTCATTAGGGTCTTTTGGGTCAAGTGAGAACCGCACCCGAGGACACGGCGCATCGTCTCCGACATAGATTATCGGCCAAGCACCAGGATTGCCTTCAAGAAAGATACTCGTAGTTGGTGGGATCACCAACATCTCTTCGCCGGCCTTCCTCGGATGGGCCATCTTGGGTAATCCACGGATTGCTGGTGTCACTGGCGGAGCTGCCGGAAGAGTTGATGGCCCAGGCCCACCAGTTCCTCCCCGCAAGCGCATGTATGGATGTGCAGCAAATCGAGAATCGCGTTTTCCAAAGATTGTGCTCAAGTCTCGAACCAAGGCCCTTGCCGGCCTTTTTGGCGGAGATTCGATCCCTGGAGGGCTAACCCTTTCCACATGTTCGATATCCCATTCGTTTGGAAAATAGGATCCATCCCCTAGCGCAATAGTCTTTAAGGGCGATGACTTTCGTTGTTTTGGGGCTTTGGCATGCTGATACCACTTCTCTGGAGGCGCTGCCATGGTTTAATACTGGAAATCTTATTTCACTGCAATACGGAAGCTCCATTAGCTTATGCGTAGAGCCTGAGGGGGTCATCGCCATTATACTCACAGTAAGGAAAAACTATACTCACAGAATGACACAGTCGAGAAAAGAGAATCACAAAACCGAGACTGAGGGAAAGAGCGTTGTTCCAAATTAATATAATTGAATTCTTTTCGAGAGATTAGTTCGAGGCCCTTCCACGGGTTCCTTTGAGGCTCACAAGGATAAAGAAACTAGACACAAAATTGGCTTCTTTGTTGGTAGCACGGTCGATTTAGTGTCAAGATTCCTCGATCAGGGTTACAAAGAAATCGCACAGTCAGAATTTGCGATGCAAGTGTTTCCTGGTGGCGGCAAGAAGTGGAGATTATAGAGATGAAGACTGGACTCGGTTTTCTTCAAGAGAGTAATTCTAGTCAGTCAAATGTCCTCGTAGCCCGGACCACAACATATTGGATGAGACACTCACAGAAAGCGGTTTTGGGGAGTTGAAGCAACGCTTTGCAAGAGGCAATTAGACGATGGACAGCAAGACAGCGGTATCAGCAATAGAAAGCCCGGGGTGTAGATAAGAAGAAACCAAGATGGTCAGCTGGAGAGTGGCAGATTTAGCGAGACGAGTCATATTGTTCCCATCCAAAGCAGCTTGCACTTCGGCTCATCTGACCAAGGCAACGGTTCTGGTGGGTGTTATAACATAAAGACACAGTCGGCATCCCTTAGAAAGTAAATACTCATAACACTATTACGTCCATACTCCACAGGAGCTACCTCGATGATACATCGCTACGCTGATCGACACATTTCCCCAGACCTGCGGATTGCGAAGGGGGAGCTGCTTTCCCCTTAGGGCTGGCTCGAGTGGAGACATCGAGTGCAAAAGAATCAAGGTTGACCTATTTCAATCTTCCACTCCACATGAAAGGCAGCCCGACAAAGACTTTTGCCCTAGTTAGAGTTCATGACCACACAATAGGCCACGCCAGCGCCGTAAGCAAGGCAAGGCGCATTCCTCGGGAGATTCTTTGTCTACTACGCACTCGATTATTGAGACCAGAAAGAGAGCCGTAAGAGCCGTTGCGTCTGTGCGCATAAGTGGAAGTATCATCCGCCCAATCTTGCTACTATTTTCCCGCCTCTGGAATGCGACCATGCTACTCCGTTGGTGTCATTGCCCTGTGCTGAATAGCCGCTGGGGGCAAGACTGATCTGACCTTGCCGAGTGGAACTCACGATGAGCGTGTAGTGGACCTCAATTGACGATCTGATCGATTAGGTTGTCCAGAGATCGACTGCTCATCACACAACTGTGGACAGGCTACTGTCCTTGGATAAAGAGCGTTCACGTCAACAAACTTTTCAAGTTAGCCTATTTGGTACGTGATGAAGGCATTTTCCGGGTCTATGCGGACTTTAAAAGCAGAAATGAACAAAGAAGTTACAGCAAGTAGCTTGATTCGGGGGGAGGAAACGAAGTGCACAGCCCGTTCTGCCCGGGCACCTGGGTTACCGTGTGGTTTTTCACATTCCAGTGACCACCGAGACTTGGGGATTAAATCATAAAGTGGGTATGTCTTAGAGCCAGTCTCGAAATCAGGTTCTTCGTGTGCACAAGTGCACTGTGCCTTGTCGGATTCATTCGGGCCTAACCCGTGTTTGCGTAGATTAGGAACAAAGGAGGTATACTTTACCCACTTAGCTATTCGATCTCCCTAGATGTACCCTGATGAGCCTTGTTTAAGCCCACCTGGGCATTTAGTCATCAAGGCCGGCCCCCTTGGGCCCGGCGCAATCACCTTCTCAGCCTCATCATGACTTCTGAATGGCAAAATCTCTGCCCTAGTGCCTCCCCATCCTGAAGTACGGGCCTATCTTTCTTCCGTCCAAGTAAAATTTTCTATACATACGAGTCATTGGTAAGATACCAGCCCGAGTGGGAACACCCGGTCACCCTAGAAGATAACGTTCCCACATGGCCGCTGGGAAATATATCACGAATTAGGGTAGAGAGCAGCTTTTGCACTGTATGGCTCGCGAAAGATCTAAAGTTGGTTTCAAACAAATCCTATCATCTCTTACCCATTCATGCAAATATTTGAATGTAGCTTATTTCACAGCACCTGGGCAGTCGAAGGCCTCGAAAGAGCTACAGAATTTGGCGCATCTAGATACTTGTTGCAGGGGCAGTCTTTCCTCAAGATGTCTTGTTCGGCTCTTTGAATCTTTCACCCATGAAGGCCTGAATGATGTCCATCAGTGTTTTGTATTTGAACTACTTGGCCCTACCGTTGACAAAATACTTACAGACTATCATTTGGGCCAGGACAAACTCAATCCAGAAAGCATACTTCGGACGACGACCCAGCTTTTGGAAGCTCTCACATTAACTCACAGTGTAGGCATGTACCATGGAGATAATATCAATCCTTCTGTTTTGAGGTATGAACTGTACTCGCCTTGTGCTAGAAATAGCGGCCGGAACATTGCGTTCAGCTGCACGAATCTACTAGAAGCAACGGAAGAGGAACTTTTTGCGATTGTTAGATAGCCAGAAATTGAACCTCTTACCCCTATCGATGGCACGCCTTAGACAGAGGATTACCTAAACAGTTGGCCAAGGAAGCAGAATAGGTTGACAGGATAGATGAAGATGATAAAATTACGGGTTCTTGGATTTGGAGAGAGCTTTCTCCAGGGAGAGGAACCAGGAAATATGTTCAGCTCGGAACATTGCGAGTGCTGGAGACTATCTCTCAGACAACTTTGATTATCACGTTGATTGATGGAGCGATTATGAATGTACTCCCTCTTATTCTGGCGGAAACCCATATTTGACAAGTAGTGCTAACAGTTGGACACAAGGTTTATCCATTCCTATTCACGGCATATCCATTCTGGTACTTTGATGAGGACATGGCCTTGATTTCCCAGATGATTGAATTAGTGGAGAGAATTCCAACTGCATGGGAGCCTAAGTGTAAAGAAACACAGATCGAAACATGACTTGGAGTTAGTAAGTAAGTAAGTAATCAATATCGTAGAGAAATATCAGGCCATTTTAACTCCTTGCCCAAAGATCTTGGAGTCTCAAAGCATGAAAAGAAGGTCATAGAGGCTGTGCATGACCCAATGCTCGAATATTTAGTACAGGTGATCCAGGGATCGATGCGATTCCTATGATCCAATCGGATATCCAGCAGACGAAGCGGTTGATATGTTGCACAACACAGAGGAATGACAGACAAATACTGAATCATCAAAGCAGACGCGGCCCTTAATGTTAGCACGATTGTTCCGCGACCATCATGTTCCACTTCAACCCTTGGAATGCTAGCTCCTGTAGAAGACGCGGCAATTCAAACACTTTAGCCGCTGATCTCCATTTCAATCATTGATACTCCATGTGGCATTATTAGAGTACCCTAGGTACTCAAGTCCAAGCTCCAAGCCAGGAGTGAAAACGCGCAGCCTGCAATGAGCCTCGGAATTCCACCCAACAGAAATAGGTCATAGATCACCGGAGAAAGCAGCCGTCTGAAGACAAAAAAAAAAATAAATTTTAAATTTGCATTAGGAGATGGCTATTGGAATGTCCGCCCTTCTACTTCCAAGATATTTCTCCGTGTAACTAAATCATGAGGTCTGGTGCCTCGATAGCAAGGATTTTTTGCAATAGTACAAAATACTGGTCATTTAGTTATGCCCTAATACGGCTTATTGCCAGTACCGGGGCTCGTCGAAGACGTGGTAGCGGTGGCCGCGGACACCCTCGCCGCGGAACAGGGCTGGGAAGCGACGGCCTTCGGGGACAAGTTCCTCGGGGATGCGAACTTGTTGCTCGGGTTCGGGTTCGCCGATAACGAACTTGCCAACCTATTGGGATTGTTAGTGTGGTTTTGTGTTATGGTTGGTGATATAATATACCTGAATCTCAGTGTCGGTGATGGTGTCACGGCTGATTCTGGCGTAACCGGTGCGGTGGACGTTCTTGTAGAGAATATACTCGCACCATCTGTCCCAGTCGCTGGAATCGATATCCTTCATGCCGCTCACCTCGCTAACATAGGTGTTGTAGTTGCCCTCGAGCGGCTTGGTGACCAGGTAACTCAGAAGAATGGACGGGCGAGGTGAAGAGCCCATCAACTTGGACAGGTACTGGGACTGAAGACGACGGTCCTCGGGGTCCTCTTCCTGGCCGGAATGGAAGACGAAGATGTCAACCATCTCGCCATACATGTCAAGAGTGGCATGGATGGCCGGGGCCAACTCGCCAACGGGCGAGGGGAGAAGGTGGTGGGTGGAATTCACGATGGGGAACTTGGACAGCAAGGCCGAACCCCATGTGTGCTTGTTGGGACCGGGGCCGAAGTCGACATAGTAGCCAAGGTCCTCGGCAATGTATTGGGTGACATCCTTGTTACCCATAATGATACGCTGATTATCCGACTCAAGGAAACCAATGACATCGAGCTCGAGCTCACCAAGAACATCGCGCATACGACGCTCAGCAGCCCACATGTCGTTGTCGAGACCGAAGTGCACAGTCCAGATGCCAGCAGTGACAACCTTGTCCTCCTTGTGGTGGGGCTGGTAATCGTTGGTAGGGAAGCGCAGATAGGCAACTGAGATGGACAGCAACTGCAACGCAGCAAGAACGTAAATGTAGTACGAACGCTGTCTCTTGCTGTTAGGGCTAACGGGCTTCTTGCGGGAGCGAGTGGACGAGTTGGAGGTGGCGGCCGAGAACACACCAGCTCCAATAGAGAGCATGGTAGTAATCATAACCCAATCAGTGTGCTCACGGACAAGGGGACCGCCAGGAACGAACGCATAGGCGACAACCCAGACGTGGAAGAGCAACATGAAGACATAGAAGATGAAACCAACTCCAAAAGTGATGGCAGGAGAGTGGCGAACACCAGAGGAGATCAAGACAGGCGAAACGGCCATAATATAGAAGGCCAGAGCAAGAGCACCGTAGTACCCGGTCCAGTGGTGGAAGCATGTAAGGAGAGCCGCACCAACGGAGCCGATGCCATAGGCAGTCCAGCTTCCGGCCACGGTGGGGTAGAACACCCCATAAACCAGACCCGCGCCCATGGCGAGGATGGTCACAGCACCGTGAGGCACAGCGATGGGTCCACGAATCGGATATCCATCCCAGACCCACGAGATCATGGTGCTAGAGTCGGTCAAAAGAGACACGATGGCGAACATAAGTCCACCAAATCCAATACCAGCCAGAATAGAGGAGCCCTTCTTGCCGCCGGATGGGAGGAAGTCTCCTCCGCTGGTGTTGGAGGTACGCTGAGACCGCAGGACAGCGAAAATGGCAATGAACAAACCGATTTTGTTCCAACCGCCGTTCTCGGCGTGCATAACGGGCCAGAGTGGGTTATTCGTGGCGCAAGCGAACTTGGCGACCACAGACATGATCAAACCAATACCCCAGGCCATGATGCGAGTCTCAAGGCGGGGCGAATTGGCGCGCTCGGCGAAGAAGCTGGCGGTCCATGCGGCACAAGAAGTCGCAAGAGCGAATCCAGTAACGAAGAGTCGATTGGCGGGATCCTGGAACTTGTAGGCGAGAAGACCCACCAGCGAGAGCAAGTGCAGAACGCACAGGTTCTTGGTGGCGGTGTATCGCAGGGACGGGATGGCGAAGAGCAGAGGCGAGCAGCAGCAGACAATGGCAACCTCGTAGCCGGAGATACCCATGTGCCACAAGGGGAAATACCACACGAGAACGGGAAGGCCGGTGACGATGGTCCAGAAGACGAATCCATTGTAGACATCGGCAGCAGCGTCGATGATCTCAGTCCAGAAGAAGCCTTCACCGAAGGTGTTGCCCACGGCCTTGCCCTTCCTAAAAACTACGTGGTTAACCTCTGGAGGGTCATGGGTAGATTATGGGATTGTACACACTCTTTTTCGAGGACTGAATCCGCAGTCGTCTTCAACTGCCTGGAAGCATGAGGTAATTTAGAAAATGCTTTTTTTTTCTTCACAACAACCAACGTAAATCGTAACACTATACATTTGTCGCGGGTGTCATTTTGGGAGCCACGGTACATACCCTCTGCTGATTCCCTTGACATCTCGCACCACAAATTCAAAGCCTTCAAAGTCGAGAGCAGTGATGGCATCGAAGCCCACATCGAACAAGACCAGGGACCACTCAAAGAAGGCGTAGCGAGTGTATGCTGGAACATATTAGCGGACGAAATCCGAAAGTGTAGAGATTGACCTACCACCGGGCACCTTGTGCACCTTGTGCTGAATGAAATAGTAGATCAATGGCACCAAAGTTCCAAAGAAAAGGCTGGCCATAATCTTGCGGTACTTGACGGCACGGCGGTTGTTGGGGCTCAAGGCCAGGCAACCCAGAGTCCACGGCAGGGTGGCCACCAAATAAGAGATCATGAAAATATCGTGCCAGTCATGGTTGTCGGTGGAGGTGACATAGGTCCAACCTCCACAGGTCAAAGTGCGGAAGACACCGACACCGGCAACAATCTTCGGCAGGGTGTAGTTCGGACGCGCACTGAGGACGTACCACAGGAAAACAAGAAGGAAGCGAGGACCGGAGGTGATAGCAATGAAGACCATGAAGAAAGAGCGCTCGGGGTAGCGATCGCCAATGGTGGCGGAGACGGAGGGGAACCATTCGTCGGGGTAGCCATAGTGTTCATTCTGAACAATCTTATGATAATGCAACGCGATACCGACAATCAGGGCGCTGAAGAAGGCGGCGTACGCGAAGACCGTGTGCGTCCATGACACCCACTTGCCGTTGATCTATGATAAAATTGAGTCAGTTTGCAGCCGAGGTTCGCATCGCGTGATGGCTTACGGTCACCACGGCATCTCCATCCTTGATTCGAGGAGCCATGGCGGTGCAGAGGGAGGGGTTAGACTCCGCACCGATATATAGAGACCGGTAAGAAAGAGAGAAATAAAAAGAACGTGAAGAATTAAAACAATTCAATGAAGCAAGAAGATAGTAAGGGCCCCTGAGAAGGAAAAACATCGGAGCCTTCGGTGCTTTCCCAGGTGTCCTCGGTTGTACGCTAGACCCGATCAAGTTTAGCGTACATCCGGGGGTCGGTGCTTTGTCCATGCGGGATGCCGACAACTTTTTTCTGAAGGTTTTCTCTCTTCAGTGATCACCAGCCATGTCCGCCGCCACAGACAAGGCTCGATTCTTCCTTGAGAAGTCCGTTCCAGAGCTCAAGGAGTACGAGCGGAAGAAGATTTTTACCAAGGTATGCATCGCTGCGTGGGGGTTGAATTCTCTGCTGATCTTGATTAGGATGAAATCACCGCCATCATCAAAAAACGATCCGACTTTGAGCACAAGCTCAATGCGCGTGGCGCGCAGCCCGTTGACTTTGTGCGATATGTTGAGTACGAAATGAACCTCGAAACCCTGCGCAAGAAACGCGTCAAGCGACTCGGGATTCGACAGGCCGGTCACAGTGGTCAGCGACGAATTTTCTTCATCCTCGAGCGGGCGACTCGCAAATTCCACGGCGATCTCGGTCTCTGGATTCAATACATCGATTATGCGCGGAAGCAAAAGGCACACAAGAAGCTCTCCATGATCTTCACCGACGCTTTACGATTGCATCCTACTAGTGCAGAGTTGTGGATCTACGCCGCCAAATCGGTTCTCGACGATCATGCGGATATGTCGCAGGCGAGGAGTTATATGCAAAGAGGACTACGATTCTGCAAGAGCGCCAGGATGCTTTGGATTCAATATGCCAAGCTGGAATTGATCTATATCGCTAAGCTGGCTGCCCGTCAACGAATTCTTGGATTGGACGAGGCCCGGTCCGAGGCAATCCAGGAGACCGCGCAAGATGACCTGAGCTCCGACATGATCACACTTCCCAAGATCACCGAGGAGGACATCAACCCCACGCAGGGAGAGGACGAGGAGGCCCTGCAGACTCTGAATTCCACACCTGCATTGAGCGGTGCCATTCCGCTCGCCATCTTTGATGCCGCCATGAAAAACTTCCACAACGATGACCAGTTCGGGTTCGACTTCTACGAGATGGTCTCCGAATTTGAGGAGGCGCCGTGTCTGGGCAAGATTCTGGAGCACGTGGTGGAGACACTTCGGGCGCACCAGCCTACCAGCCCCCGTGCGCAGATCTGTTACATCAGACGGCCAACTACGGGCATTCGGGTCACGTCACCCGAATTCCCGCGGGCACTGGGTAACGCACTTGCACGCCTCAAGGAATCACCCTTGACCATTGACCTTGCGCGCGAGGTGGTGAACTGGCTACAGCCCATTGCAGAGAAGGAGGAGGTGGACCCTTCGTTGAAGAAGGTCATCCTGGCGACGATGCGCAATGCGGAGCGAGCATCTTCGAAGGAGTAAATAAGGGACGAGCATTTCCAAAAGGCGTTGGTCGGAGTATATTCAGTGTATCAATCATAATCGGACCTGCTTGACCGCCGATCACTCTTCTTCTTACTCTGAAATTTCTTCCCTTGTAGTCTAGCCTCGTTCTGAGCGCGCTGCCTGTAGTCCTTATTAGGTGTCTTGGCGGGGATGCATGGGAGATGGAGTGCAGGCTTACAAGTCGCGCACCCGTTTCTGCTGTTCTGGGGAAGTCTCACCCGGAATGACCTCCTCGGCCGTAGACCGGAGCAGCTGGTGGAGCTTGTCATAGCAGGAATCCACGTTACTAGCTTGTTTCCGGGATTCGTCAGATTGGATCAGCAAAGCCTGGCCCTGGCTGACGGCATAGCGGGAGACCCTTAGAGGAGCGTGCAGTACCAATGGAACCCGAGAAAGCAAAATGTCCAAGGGCAGCTTCAGAGTTGCCTTGGAATTGACTCTGCCCCCACTTGATTAGCCCTGTGTATAGTGACGGGGATCGGACATGGACCGACTTATTTACGTTCTGACCGCCTGGGCCGCTAGAACGGCTGAATGAGATCTGGCCGAGATGGCGGGGAATGGTGCGGGAATTCAAAGACTTCAGCCACTGCCTCGCTAGTTCGAAGTCCAGGTCAGCAGACTTGGTGGAGGCATGGGAACCAGGGGCCACGCTGGGCACACTGGAAGCAAACCGCCGGAAGTGTTGGAGTGGTTGGAGTTGTCGTAACATGGCCCGGCCTCTTGTCTTCCCTTGAGTATAAACCTGGCAGTAAAATGAAGATGAAGCAATGCTGGTGGAGTATGTCCTGACTAATGAAATCCAAGACCAAGCGTGAAGCGCTGGGAGCGCTTCCGAGGGAAAGTTGAGCAGACTGAGCCAGCCTTTTTGGTTTTTTTTTTTTTCTCCCTCTCTCCTTTTGCACCGGTGGATGTTTTTGTGGATGCTGTGTACGACGCTGCTGCTAGTTAGGGGGTGGTGGGCGCTACTGGCGGGATTCTCGTGAGCGTTGAAGCATACCTTGTTCCCCTAGTTCGTGTCCCAAAGGTTCTTTGTCATAGTAAAAGTAGAGCTGCAGGCCTTCGACCCCCCGTTGTACAGCGTATGCATGACCTACCTGTGCCCAGTATCCTTGTATTTCCCTTCCCTTTGCATTCCCATTCCCATTTCCATTTCCCTTTCCCTTTCCCTTCCATTTCCTTTCCTTTTCTTATATCATCCTTTCCATCCTTTCCATCCTTTCCGTCCTTTCCACTTCCTTCCACTCCACCCCTCGTCCCGTTTGCCCTATTTTGGGACCCTGACCGCCTGGTCCCAATCTTTTTCAGTGATCGCCCCACCTTAGCTTGCGCGATTGCAAAATTCACTCTGGCGCCTGACGCTCCCCTAACTCCGACTACATATCTTATTTTCTGTGTAGATGAAACGTCCACCTCCCTCCAGTCTACATGACGCCCAGCCCCCCCGATGAAGCCCTTCACTTCCGTGGCAAGACTCTGACTCCAGAAAGCCCTCGCCCGCTACACATCCCGGAGCCAGCAAATATCCCGGTCTTGGAGAACCAGATGGACCCCGTCTTCAACGATACCTCAACTTATGAACGCGCCGTATGGCCGGAACACCCGGGTCGCGGTGGATGGAAGAAGGATGGCCAGGGACGGTTGGATGGTGGTCTGCAGCAGCCGGAGAACACTGTGATGAATGATAATTCTGCGGATATTTATCCTTCCCACTCAACGGGCACTGAGCAAGGCCAGGGCGCAAATGCTCACTCTGGCCTCGCTCCCCCCGATTCCACTCACTCCCATGCGACTCCGGTGGTCCCGGTCTCCCAAGGCATCGCCACTGCGAGCGAGATAGAAAATGCCGCTAAGGTTGAGCCGCCCTGGGTTGGTGCGAAAGAAGATGCAGGTTCCCATACAGGTGTCAATTTCCAGACGCTGCTGGACAATCTGTCTTCAGGTGGAACGACTGCCGCCGCTTCCCATCTAGAAGGCCAGTCGCTTCACCATGCTCCCAAGGAAGAGTCTCAGAACCTCCCTGCCCGCCCTCTTGATCCCTCCCTTAACCCCAATTATGCCTCCCATTCCTATGAGCAACCCCCTCCCGCTCTTGCCACATCTTCCGCCTACGCAACCCACCCTAGTAACCATGCCCAACATTTCACTTCTTCCACCTCCCCGGGTGGTGCTCCGGGGACCGACGCGGGCGCCGGCTCGCTCCCCCTCCCCCTGTTGCCAGTTTCCAGCATCCAAACTCTTCGGGCGCAGACCGCCAGGGATCTCAGGAGACTATCAAGACATCTCGCACCGATAAGCAACCTGTCCGCACCGGCAAGGCCTCTGATGATGATGCACCTTGGGGCCCCGAGGTTCAAAAGAAGTACGATGAGTTCCTACATGACGAGAGAGTCTATGTGACGGAAGGCCTTTGGGATCGCTTCCCGATGGGATCCAGACTATTTGTTGGTCAGTTTTATCGCCTTGAGCTTTTTGCTACACGACTCGTCAACTAACATATCTCATATACAGGCAACCTCCCCACCGAAAGAGTCACTAAACGAGACATGTTCCATCTATTCCACAAATACGGCAAATTGGCACAAATATCTATCAAACAGGCCTACGGTTTCATACAATTTCTAGAGGCTGGAGCTTGCCATGCGGCCCTGCAAGTTGAGCAGGGAGCTTTGGTGCGAGGCCGCAAGATACGTGAGTTTAGATTTCAGAGAACAAGAACCGAACTTGGCAGGGTGCTGATTTCCATAGATCTTGAAATTTCGAAACCGCAGAGGTCAACCAGACCTGGTCCGACGGAGGCGCCTCGTGCCCCTCCTCCTCGACGATCGAGGTCACCAGAATTCAGCCGTACCGGTCCTGCTCGGGCTACTGCACGGCCTCCGGGTGATCGCTTTGATCGGCCTTCCGAGTCCAGTCGGCTTCCATTCAGTGATTTCCGGGATGAACCCACGCACCGAAGGCGTGATGACTATCGGCCTCCACGCTCACCCCGTTCACCTTCCCCTCGACCTTTTCGTTCTGGTCGGGATGGGTATCGATCACGGGACAGAACCCCGGAACGGTTTGACCGCCGTAGACGATCCCGGTCTCCTCGCTCGCCGCGCTCCCCTCGCTCTCCCTACTCTAGGGATCGTCGGTATCGCAGCCCCAGCCCGAGACCTCGCGGTGTCTATGAAGGGGAAGCAGGTTTACCGGTCCCTCGACGGGCCCCACGAGATGTGCCGGAGGTGCAGGTACTTGTCTTGGAAGAAGTGGACCGGTATGTGTGAAATTCGCCCGCTTTGATACAAGCCATTACTGACCGATTAAGAAACTTTATACTCCATGTGGAAAATGCTTTTCGCAACCGTGGCCTGCGCGTAGACGTGCTTGTGCTAGGTCCTCGAATCCCATTGGGAGCGGCGGTGCATCGCCAATACGTCGAAGGTGTCCTAGCTGTTGTTCGACTCTCCCGGCCCAATCAATTCTCTCGCAAGATCCCTCTGCAGATTTTCGATCGAAGTGCGGGGCCAGATAACGTCCGCTTCAGTGGTTCGTAGCCTTGATATCTCCCAGTTCCCCACACCGCTAATTCTTATCTAGATTACCCCGAGGTCGACCCTAATATCGCCGCCGAAGTTATGTTCCACCAAGCTCAGGCAATGCAGCGCGGTCCTGTTCCTACTTCATTCGCGCCCAATCCTGCCTTTGGGGTTCCCCCTATGCAAGCTGTGCCTTTGCCTCAGCCGGGTCTGCCTCAACCGGGCTTACCTACTCTTACGAACCCTCCCAGTATCGCAAACATGATCAGCTCCTTGGATGGCCCTAGCCTCCATACTCTCTTATCAGCACTTCAGCGCCCGAACCCCCAATCGCAGCCAGTCTCAGCGACGCAATCACCCTTCTCGTCACCCAATCCTCCTCCGCCAGCCGATCTCGCCAGTCTTTTGACCAATGTGACTCGGCCTCCTGTGCTGCCAAACCCTCAACCTCTTCCTCCCCCACCTTATAATCTCCACCCCCCAAATGCCCCCATTGTCTCAGATCCACATTTGCTTTCGCTGCTTGCTAAGGGTCTGAGCGGCCAACAGCCACAGGGGCAGCCAGTTGGTTCAAATGTGCAGAACCTAATAAACCACCTGGCAAAATGGAAACAATGATTTAATGAATCTCTTCTCCGTGACTTTTTTTTGGGAAAGTCCGGCTACTTTCTTGGCGCTTGGCGTTCTCGCTATCTATCATTCCAGGATGGCTTCTTATTTTTCAAGCTGGAATTTGCCAGCGATCTGCAACTACAGGCGTTTGTGTCTTTATGAGGAGAATATTTTAGATGAAAGGGCGAACGGTAGTGTCTTTGGTCGGAGTTGCCGTGTATTCCATTTCACCATGTGTATGTTTGAGCCTTTCTTGACCTGGTTTGGGCAGAATGGATATAATATGACGCCCATTGACGGAGTATGATGCTTCTCATCAATTCTTCTCATCCCAGTAGATCACATGTCAGCTTGGATCATGCCACTTTGATTCTCACTGGAACAGATCGGAGCGGGTACAAGGCTCCGTCCTCGGATCGTTCCACATGCCGAAAATACCTGGGCGGCTACTCGGAGCTATAAGCTTGCCTGGTTGTGAGAAATGAATGGAATGGTCATCAAAAATGCATGGTAAGAGTGGATATTGTAACATAATGTACAACCGCTAGATACTATCATCCAGCCAGTTTTCAAGTAGGCTTCCAGCCTGAAGACTTCAATTCCTTCACCTTTTGCGCATCCTCGTTCTTGATGCGCTCGATCGTCTTATCCCGATTGTATTCCATCACTCGCTTCTCCTTGAAGTATTTGACCTAAAAAGTAAGCCTCGTTAGTATGTCAACTGACAAAAAGGACGACATTGCAGTGCGTTCATATTTCTCTCCCGAAACTAGATCAAGCACCGTAGAGAAAAGTAAGAAGCGTACGTACCCAGGTCTTCGAGCACGCCTCCTCAAACTCCGCTACCTCCTTCGCGCACTTTTGCCTCGCTTCTTTGTCGTTCTTGATTCCGTCGAGAATATCGTTCCGATCCAGGCAGGCGAAGAAGTGATCACGTCCTTCCCAGCAGCGCGCGCGACTTGTTCGGTCCGGAGCGATGCGGCCACCGTCGGAGGATTTATTGGAGTCGCCGGAGGACCAAGGGAGCCAGCCCATTTTGAAGGTAACGGATGTCTTTGGTGCTGTGTGTGGAGATAAATGAGGGTTCGTGGACAAAATCAATGTCCCAGTGTGGCGAATTCGTGGAGCTCGAGTGTAGTGGCTCTGGGACTGAAGTTGTTTCGTTGCTCCCGCGGGCTCGGCGAATGCCAAGACTGTTGATCACGGCCTCAACGCTGTCCGCTTCTTCCCACAGACAATTCTTCTCTCCTTACGCTCTCCTCGACTTTCTACACCCTTTTCATAATCGAACGCTTCTATCACAGTTACAGTTCTCGATCTCCGACCCTGGTGGTAAGCGCATGTACCCTCGGCCGCCCTTCGCCTCGACTTGAGCGCACCGCTCATAGCCAACCCAAAACCTTCAGACTCACCAGGTCGCCAAGGGAATTCCCTGGCTCCCTAGTTGATGCCCGGGCGCCGGCGCCTTCCAGCGGGGTCGCGAACCGACCTCCCGCCACTGAAGATCATCCGCAAGATCCTCTTGCTGCAGGTTGCCTATTATGCCTGCGCCACGGTGCTCATCCTATTCACGACAGTCGTATACGGTGCGCCGTTCTCGCTAGACCTGATTTTCGGATGGGATTATTTGAGAGGAGATACGACGGTTGGGTGGATGCTGGGACTGGTTTGGATGTTGAACTGCTTCATTAGGTGAGTAGCCTCCATCGCTGGGACGACCTAAACAACTCGAACGAGCGTGCAACTAATTCTATTCCTAGCGTGATTTTTCTACTGCTTTTCGTCTCCCGCTCAAAGCTGGTTCCTGACTTTGCCCTTACGATCCACTTCATTCACCTTGTCGCCACCATTCTTTACACCCACTCCCTCCCCTCGAACCTACTCTGGTGGGGCCTCCAGTGCGCCAGCGCCTCGTTGATGACCTTCGGAGGTATGTGGGCCTGCCAGCACCGGGAATTGAAACCGATTGCCTTTGGTGGACTCGGCGGAAGCAGCCAAACAGGGTCATCCTTACAACCGGCTTCGGACGGCCAAGCCGAGTCCAGCTTCGGACGTGGTCGCGGCCGAGAGCGCAGTCTCCAGGAGTACGAAATGGATGAGATGAAAGCGTCTGGCGAGCACGCTGTATGAAATGCAGACAAGACCTTGGATGCCTTCGGGCTATGATTTCGTTGGCTAATTTTCCTTTTCTTCTTTGATGCCTTGGTCTATATGACTAGATCTCTTTTCTGCATCCCGTTATTGTATACCCTGCCACGGTTGCATCTGTATAGATGGCGTTTGTTCTAACGATGAGGAATGGATCATTGTGTTTATTTTGTCGAGTATATCAATTTATAATCTGGAGTTGGTCTCCATCAATGTGACTTTCATTCTACCATATTCACGTCCGAGAGTATCTTAGAAGTGGCCAGCTGTATAGAACATTATCTAACCAGGTGCATGTGCCGGACTACGGCGTCACAGCATTCCCAAGCAACCGTCCAATCTCCTGCGCAATTGCCAACGTCTTCTCCTCACTCAATTTACGCCCAATAACCTGCACCGCGATAGGAGCACCATGGTACGCATCAGGGTCATACTCAGCCTGAACAGTAGCATCCAGTTGACCAAGCGACTGATAATCAACCTTCTTCAGATCGACACTCTTATCCGCAAACGTAACCGGGACAACAACACTAGTAAAATCGAGCAAGTTGATCACCGACGCATAACCATAATACCGGAACTGATTGTGGCGGATAGCAGCCGTCGCAGTAATGGGGGCGATGATTGCATCGACTTCCTTGCCCAGTTTGTCTTCAAGCTCGCGCCACTTGTCGAGGTACTCGCTTTGGTAGTTCCATTTCTGGAGGTGGACGTCCCAGAGCTCGTTCATGTTGATTTGGCCTGCGTCTGGGTTTAGGAGGTCTTTGATATTGGGGATTGAGGGTTCGCCTGAGGCGTTTATGCTGCTGAGGACGTCCTGGTTGGAGTGAGTATTCATACGACTCTGAACTGTCGCTTATACGTACAGTGCAGCCATCTGCGGCGTAGATATTGTTGATGAGGTCGTGGCCAAAATCATGCTTATATGGTGTCCACGGGTGAACCGAATGGCCGTTTTCTTTCAAGGTTGACACGACCTTCTCAATGCCGCGGAGGATTGGTGGGTGTGGAAGAACCTGTGATGGAGTGGTCAGAAAATTCCAACTAGACGATCGCTCTTGGACATACGACACCATCACATGAGTAATATCCCAATGTGAGTCCACCCGTCTGCAGCTTCGATTTGACAGCATCTTCCTCGGCATATCTCCAAGGAATAGGGACAACTTTCGAATCATACTTCCATGGCTCCTCGGCCAGGACTGAAGTAAGGAATAGTCTCAAGTCTAGAACCGTCAGCATGTGCTATTTGACAGTCCATAATCCACAAACCTTCCGCAGAATGCGCAATGGGACCAACGACACTATGCACGGTCTCCTGGCCCTCCATACTATTGGCCATCTTGGCATACGGCATGCGACCATGGCTCGGTCTGATACCATAGAGGAAGTTGAATGCAGAAGGAACACGAATAGAGCCACCTATTACCACTATTAGTCGGGAATAAACGACCTGAGATGTTCGGCTCACCGATGTCAGTTCCAACTCCAATAACACCTCCCCGGATACCGATCATAGCACCCTCGCCTCCGGAGCTTCCACCGCAAGACCAGTTCTTATTGCGGGGGTTAACCGTCCTTCCGATGATATTATTGACAGTCTCACAGACCATGAGTGTTTGGGGGACACTGGTCTTGGTGTAAAAGATGGCACCGGCTTTCCGAAGGAGGGTTACAAGGACGGAATCGGTGGTGTCGTATTTTCCTAGCCATGATACGTAACCCATTGAAGTTTCGAGGCCCTATACAGAAGAAATAATGAGCACAAAAGATTGACTTTTTTTTGATATTTTGCAGGCATTGGGCGATCACCTTCACTCGTAGCTGGTCTTTAAGAGAGATGGGAAGCCCATGAAGGGAACCAACAGGCTTCTTGTGTTTCTCATAGTAGGCATCAAGCTCCTTTGCCTGCGCAATTGCAGTTTCAGGGAAGAATTCTAGACAGCAGTTTACCTAGGAAGACTGTTAGAATAGCACGTGTATAACGAAAAGTCACAAAAGCTGCTTACCAACTGATGCGCCAAAGCGGCCCTTTTGCAAAAGGCAACTGTCACGTCTACGGCCTTGAGCTCGCCCTGGGCCAACTTTTTGACCAGATCCGATGCGCTAGACTGCGTGATGGCAAGTTCTTGATCCGATAGAATGCCTGATTTCTTGGGGAACTCGAGGACCGAGTCTTCCGTTGGTAGGGTTTGGATCTTCCATTCTTGAGGTATAGAGTCGTTGATGCGGTTTTGCTTGTCCGCAGCACGTTCTTCCCACGAAGTTGCCATGGCTTTTAGCTAGAATGCTTTGACGTTTGTCTCTTTTATCGCGAAAGACTATTTATCAAAGATGGATTCGATTTATCAAAGATGGATTCGAGATAATATGGCAGGGTAGGGATATGCAAATGCTATGGGGGGAGCAGACCAATTTAGCGCGACTCCGGGCCCTGAGCTTCAATTTATGGAATGATAGTGCCAAACCCTATTTCCAAAGATCTTATTAAGCTTGTCATATCCGGGGCACAATTACCTCACTGTTTCTTATCGCTCCTTTCATCCGACCCCGTGGCATATCAGACTGAGCGGGGAGTTGGAGTCGTTGGAGTAGATTGTGTCTAGCCGACGTACCTAGCATCTGATCGTTGGGGCTCTTGTTTGCCAAAGCAAGCGATATACTAAAAGTTTTCTAATAAAACTATAAACCAGTAATTCCAGTTTAAGAGTTATTTAGCGACTCGCTATTCTAGATATTTGAGCTTCCAGGCTCACCATGAAGTTTGGTATATTTTCAATTCTTCGGCGTATCAGCTTCCTTAAACTTCTGATCCCATCCGTCACTCTCCACCGTCGTTCACCTCCCAATCCCAATTT